GTTTTAGATAACCCGGTGTTTGTCCAGGGGAACGTGGGAAAGGTGGGTCGGTACCTGGGGCTGAAGATGGTATACACGCCCGTGGAGCCGGCCGAGCTACACGAAGACCCACTGCGAGCAGAGGGAGGACGACAGCGAGCCTGTAGGATGTCACGGCAGTGGGTGTGGCCGAGCAAGCTTCTTGGAGGCAGCTTGACACGGAAGCACCCTGGCTGGCGGAGCAGTAGCTGGTGGGCGCCGGCCAGGCGAGTAGAAGAGGACCACCAGGAGGAGAAACAGTCTTGCTATTTCGAAAGGATTAGACAGTTGATGGTGGATGTGATGGGATGGGGGAGGACGAACAGCACAATCAGGGGCACCTGCCCACCATTGGGCATGAGCAAGCGCCGCGTGGCCGAGGAATGTGGATATAGCTATGTTCTTCATATTGAAATCTGGGTTGATAAAATGTGTAGAATCCCCTGGGAAAGAGCCTGGGAAGCGGCAGGAGATAAATAAATACTCAAGTACCGCGATCTGATACACAGTGATGCCGGAAGATCGGAGTGTTGGGACTGCTCTTGTGTACTAATCAGTGAACGCGTGATTGTCGGGAAATATGACACGGTCTTTTGAGGGCTATAAATACTGGACGGAAAGAGACGGCTATCTTGAACGCATGATGTATAGTGATGCTCAACCCCATGTTCCGGAGCATTCTCGGGCGGGTATGAGATTTCGAGGATTCTGAGCGAAGCAACGAACGCCACCGTGCGGTCGCCGCGCGTCCTTTCGTCATGTAAACCATATTTCCTAATCAAGAGCGTGTGCGAAAACCACTAAGATGTAGGCACGGCAGTGGTACCGCAGGAGGGCGGTCGACGCTAAGTAACAACCACGGAGCGATCGCAAGCAGCCCTGCGGCCCCTAGGCCGAAACACTGAGCTTATTGGACGAGCGGGAATGGTTCCCTAAGGTTGGTTAGGTACTGCCGCTCGTAGCCTCCGAGCTGTCGCCATCCCGCCACAACCATCGGCATTCGGGACCGAAAGGCGAGGGGATGCGTGGCTGGGAGGAGGGGGTAGCGGAAGAACAAGGCCATTGCGCAGATTTAGGCGGGGAGGGCTGATGACCAGTGTCTTGCCCTCTCGTTTGCTAACCTTTCCCGACCTCCATTGCACATACCTACGCGTCTTGCCCTTCCACTGACCCGGTGGTTGGATGTGGCGGTTTGGGGAATGTCCGACGCACCAATGGAACCGCAGACGACCTTCGGACATTTTTCTGTGATTTTTAACCAGCTCGAGCGTCGACCGTGGCCGTGACTTGACCCTTGGATTGTTCCCTTGATGAAAGGGCCATTGTTGCCCGTATATTTAGCGAGAATGTCGTGGGCGTTGCACGGCGTCTGTGTCTGCAATTCAATGCCGCGTGAAAATGCAAGATGAAAAGAAACAGGCAGAGACAAACCCAGTCCTCTCCACTAGTATCCGTAGGGCTGGGGTGGAGAAAACCTGCCCAGAACTTCTGGAGATAAGATCCAATGCTTTTATTGGGCGAATCGATCTATAATACTAAGTAAAACATGCAACTTCAGTCAGCCTGCATGATTTAGGTTGATCGACACGTTCAAGGTGCCTACCGTGGTAGGCAAGTAAACAACTTTGCCATTCGCGCCAGGAGATTCACTTTGACGCCTCACTCCTGTGGCCTACTCAGTCCTGATGACGACGCTTAACTTACGTATTGGACAAACAACTCCGGTGGCACTGCGTCTTGTCTCACACTACGGCCAACGGACGGCCGACTTTTGGGATAGCTTGTCTCCAGTGACGCGTCAAAACGAGCATAACCTTTGGCAACGTAAAGTAAAGCATGATGATAAACTGGTACAATTGTTCTACAACACTAAAACAAACGCGCCGACGATCGGCATGGCCCGGCCGACCATTACCCGCAGCGGCCATCTATCCCTTTCCCGCCCCGACAGAAACTCCGTAACACGCAAGCACAATGTCGAACAAACCGCCGTCCTGAAGTTGACGTAACAACTCGGGAAACCGAGAAAGAAAACCAAACATGACTCTCGGCCATCGCCATGACCAGCCCCGTACTACCTCCCCGCCATGTCATCAAATGTCCTGTCGTCATACCAAACCAAACTCCCGCGACCATACCCCGGCTTGCGGTCCCCTACCCCTTGAAGGCCCCAGGGTTCCCGAAATTGCGGGTATTCTGTCTTGGACCGCCGTTGCTAACACTACAGCATAGTGCCAAAGGTATTATCCTCAAAGGGGATAGGCTTGCGCGGAGTGCCCTCGTCAGTCGCCGGCTTGCGGTGGCGGAAGGTGAAGCCGACAAAGAGACCTTTGCTCATCTCGTCCTCACGCTCCGCCATGGTCTCGAGCGCCTGTTGCTTGTCGTGAACCTCCTTGTACTTGGCCATGTCGGCCTCGTTGCTGAAGTCATCAAAGTAGCCCGCGTCCGTCTCCGAGTCTAGTTCTGGGACGAACGGCGGCTTGGTCTCACGTAGCACGGCCCAGTCAACCTCAGCAAAGTACTGATGGCTGAGGATGTCCTTAATGTTGGAGAATCTCCTGGACCGAGAGTTGATGCAACTACTATCGTCAACCTCCTGTCTCGTTTTAAACGCTTGCCTGGGTAACTTACGTCGTGATAAAACCCCATGTTCGGTTGCTCAGGAAGTAGCTCGGGTCTTCCCACACTGGCCGCTTCAATACCTCCCGCCAATGATTCAGGCTCCGCCATGTCTCGTCGGCAGTCGACCCCCGCAAATAGGAGAAACCCCGTCAAGGCCTTCAAAGAAGCATGCAACCCAGGTTCCAATAGTCGACAGATAAAGTCGTACTGCTCGCCCCTCAGCACCTCCGCCAGTGGAGAGGAGTCCGGCGAGCCCACGATTGATTTGGCGTAATTCTTAGTCCTTCTCCCTCATGGTGCGGTATCCTTCCCGACGCTCGGCAACTGTGCGCTGGTCCATTGGTTTGCCGAACGGGACCGACGTCTCGGACGCTTTCTCCAGGCGGATCCTCATTGACTCAATCTTAGCAGGAGCCAAGAAGCCAGCCGCCAGGCCAAAGTCGGTGAGCTTGACGTGTCCGGTTGAGTCAACCAGGAAGTTCTCTGGCTTGAGGTCACGATGGATGTAGCCCAACTGGTGCAGAGCATCGACGGCGCAGAACATCTCGGCGATGTAGAAGCGTGCGTGCCGGTTCGACAGCACGCCGGTGTTGTTGAGGAGGGTGCGGAAGTCTCCGCCTGGTACGTATTCCATGGCAAGATAGATATTCTTGTCGTCTTGGAAAGAGTACAACAGGCGGACTAGCCAATCGCTCTTGGCCGTTGTGAGAATGTCGCGTTCCGTTAGGACGTGTCGGACCTCGTCTAGCTTGAAAAGCAGCTTCTTGCTCATGACCTTGAGCGCGCATACCTCCTTTGTATCTTTCTTTTGTGCGAGGAAGACCTGGCCGTACCCGCCTTGGCCGACTTGGGTCAAAATCTGGAAATCAGCGTGCCGCAGCCGCACCCGCCTCTTGCGGAGATTGGCACGTTCTCGGCCCGGTGTACTTTGACCACATCTGGTTATACGTCTCCTCGTCGGTCTCCGGCGGTGATGGATATTCTTCCTTGAACGCGTTTAGGCGGCTCTGCCTCTGGCCGACATAAGTCAGCAGATCAAAGTAGTAGTCAAGGAAATCTGCCCTCGGGGTTAGCACCAAGCCCGCTTTTTAGACTCCTCCCAACCAGAAGCTAGCTTACAAAGTTGTGTGACATTGACCAAGCGTTTTACGCCCCGGCTTCTGCAGAAGTTCACGTTCTTCAGCAGTCAAACCCCTAGTTGTATTGAATCGCCGGACGGTCGGCGGCGGCCGGTCCCTCGGCTGGTACAGTTCTTGGCGCGATACGGCGGCATGGCTGGGCTGATATGTCGGCTCGGTGAAGGGGTCTCGGGGGAGTGTGGGATGTGTGTTTTCCTGTCCCTGGTTTCTCAAAGGGCTACCTGTGCGAGGGATGCCTTTGCGGATGATACTGTCGTCGACGGTCGGGGAGTTCTCCTCGGCGGCCTGCAGGTTGCTCTTCCCGGGGGACAGTGGCGCAACAACACTTTGCGGTCGGCTTAGCTTCACCGGAGTGTCGAACGCACTGGGCGGATTAATTTTCATGCCCTGGAGAGCGACAGGAAGCTCATTGGCACCGGGAGGTACCGTCTTCTTGCTTGGGCTGCCTTGTGGAGTGCTGACAGGGGTGACGAAGCTGTTTCGCGTCGGTGTGGAGGGGCGCGCGTCGGTCTTGTCGGGCTTCCCTCCGGGGAATAGATTGGCCATGAAGCTCGCCATGGCGTGCGGGCGATCTGCAAGGTACGGAGTCGAGGAAACCTGGGACCTGCGGACGCGGAAAATGTGATGCAGATGTTTGCTGCTTGCAGTCCGCCTTTACCTGCAGCAGGCTGATGGGGGAAAGAAGGAATGGGACGGGGGGATGCTACAGCCAACGACGCGGTAAAATGTAAAGGATGATGTCAAGAGTCTCGAATCACCTGCAGGACAACAAGTCGCGCCAAACAATGGCGATGAGCTTAAATTATGGCGCCCAAACTCGCGCCGTGCCACTGCTCTTGCCCGATTCAGGAACAATCCAGGCGGGTTGATTGGGCAGAGAGCGGGGGCGGGGTAAAAAGGACGTCAACATGCAAGGTTGGAAGAGCAACCCAGCTGAACTGTGGGGTGACCTGAAACGCGGAAGCCAGCCTGGTGGAGCGCCGATCTCCAGGCATTTATCAGAGGCTTGGCGTCAGCTGACAGCGGGCCTGGAACGGGATTTTACAGCTTAGGCCAGCCTCCAACCTCTCATCTTCGACGCGACGAAATTGAAGTGTAACGCGTCCACAAGCAAAGACATCCGATATATCCCCACCTCTTCTTGAGAAATTATCTAATCTTCGTTGACAATGGCTAAAGAACGCGGTTATAATCCCGTGCAAGCTCAGCGCAAGGCTGACAAGGCCAAGGCGATCAAAAAAGGTATCCTCTTACCCACAAGCATTCTCCTGGGTCCTGGTGCGTTCACTCGTCGGGGTAGCTGACTTTTGGGCTGAATAGGCAAGTCGGAGCAGCAGACGCGGAGGAACGAAAAGCTAGCCCAGCGCAATCCCGCCAGAATACAACAGCAAATCGACGACCTCAAGGCTTTGAAGGAGGGAGGAGGCAAGATCACTGCGCACGAAGAGCAAGCACTCGAAGCTCTCGAAAAGGACCTGAAGGCAGTCAAAAAAGCGAGAGAGGCGCTAGGGGATAAAGCACCACAGTTTGGGCGTGGCCCGCCGAGGCAGGGGCAGAGGGGCGATGGTGTGCTAGGGAAAAGGAGACGCGACTTTGAAGACGCGTCCAGCAGTGACAGCGATGTGCCTGACGACGTCAGGAGAATACCGATGCCGCGGGATACGCCGCCGCCGATTCCCAGAGAGATATTGGACGAATGGTACGCGAAGCGCCGAGCAAAAAGGAATGCGGAACGAGCCTCGGAGGTCGAACAACGAAAGGAACCGGAGAAGCCGGCCGCACCCGTCGTCGAGGTCAAAACAGTATACGAAGCCAAACCCGTCGTCAGAGACCTGCGGAAGGAAGCCGTGAGCGCATTCATGCCGGCTGCTGTTCGGATGAAAATCGAAAAGGGCAAGGGGCAAGGCGGTCTCTTGGAACCGGAAGAAGCCGATCAGCTAGAGAACGAAGGGTATCTGCGCAGCCTTGAACCACCGCGAGCACAAACCGGGCATTTGGAGCCCGACCAGGGCGCCGGTCCTCGCCAGGTGACTCTAGAGGAGGTCGCAGATGAGGAAGCTTGAGCCAACCACACCGCGCGCATTACGGCGCATTCGGGACTAGTAGGGCTGAACACGCTAGGCTGGGAATTGCGACTCCTTGTGCTCGGTGCGGGTTAGGTATTCTACTTTTTGGCACGGCCAGCTAAGGCAGGTTCCTGACATAGCTGACTGCCAAAATTCACCAGGCTTGAAAACAGGCTGCAGTACGAGCTGGGTCCCGGGCGGCCCCGGACACTGGGTGTTATGAATGCCAGCGTCTGACGGCTTGACTTGTCTTGCAAGAAAGGCTCCGGGTTGCTCATTCATAAACCCCTCTGCAATATGCGACACATTTAGACTATGTCGCTCGACGCGAAATATTTGGAAAACGAGTGCGCATGGCTACGCGAAGCCCGCCGAGACACCTGGAAATATCCGATGGCAGACTGAAGCCTCGGCTGCAGCGACAGAAAGCCGCCATCGCGTATCGAGGCGTTCCTTGGGGTTGCCTACGGGAATGGCTTCTAGATTGGTGGTGGGCTAGCTAGAGATACGCGTTGCTTTTCTCTCCTGCCATAATAATACACCCAAAGCCTGGTTTGTTTGCGGATCGGGCATAACAACGTACCAGCGGTCTGAGCTTCCAAATAAATATCCATCGAGGAGACACCCTCGGATCGTAAAAGGAAACGTTGTGGCCGCCTTGGCAACGCGAGAACTTGTAGCCTACAATTTACTCTGGAGATCAAGATGGTCATATCCACCGCTTTCGTCCCTCCGTTCCCCTCTCCAAGCTCGATCTTGTTCCCGTCTAGATACCCGCTCAGTCGTCATACCCTCCTACCGTTTCTTTCCGTCTGAGCCTTCGACATGGGGCGAACGTACTTTTGGAAGGGTTTCGGGATCAAACCCGTGAGAAGAAACCCGTCAGATCACCACATTTGTAGTCAGTGTCAACCTTTTCTTAGGCAAGGCCAGCCCAGGAACTGCCTCCGGCGGGATTCCTGCCCCTTGGCGACCACAACGAAGTCGATATCGCGAGCAGATTCCATAAGGAGCTCAGTCTCGCGGACTTGTCTAAGGTGCTCAACACCGTTGATAACAGCCAGGTTTGCTGGTGTTTCAAGGGGGCTTGTGTTTAGACGGGCAAACAATGAGACCGAATCTTCAACGCGGATATACCTGATGCGGGACGCCTCTGTTTCCGCGGTTTGTTCTTTGCGGTGGCGCTAGCGAAGAGCAGGGTTGTGTCTCGATTTCCCGGTTGCGGAAGACGCTAGCGTATGGTCATCAGTATAGGATGGCTCTTGCTACCTCCCCCGTTGAGAGGTTGTACGTGGTGACTGCTGTTCTAGCTGCTAGAGGGCCCTAAAGTCAACAAAAATGACTCATTAGGCCTTGTTCGACGTATGAGTGTGTGCTGCCGTGCAGTCATTATCTTGTCGGCTACTGTGAGGTTGTCGGGATCAAGGGGTAAAGGTGATGGGTTACATCTTGTATCGGTAGATGCAAGACGCCGCAACGCTCGGGTTGGAAGTCATAATTGACGGCTATGACTTCCGGGCCATACCAACATCATGTGGCCTGTACCATGCAGGGCTGTTCGTAAAAATATGGAGAGGGTAGTTCCTCCTAGTCTGGCCGTTGAACTCCGTCTGGTAAAGCACCCTTCGGGACCCCGGTAGCGTCTAGCTTCCTTCTTTTCTTCAGCCACGCCGCAACCGCTAGTCTCCTTAGGTGGTTTGAGAACTGGGCGGCACATACGCAGAAGGGAACTGTTTAATTTACAGAAAGGGTAGTCTCTAAACCAGATAAACAGCCTTGAGCACCTCTAAGCTAGAGCCTAGTCTCGTGAAGAACACTAGCAATGAGCTTTCTGGACTAACACTGCCTTTTCGTTGTCTTGGGGCAGCAACGGGTAGTTGTCTGAGGGCAGGGCACCCAACCCAAGTTGAAGATGGGTTAAAATGAGTAACTCAGATCAACCCCGTCTGCCGCTGTTGTGTTGTGGTCTCAAACTACTATCAACTGTCTGGTTGCAACCCAAGTTCGATTCGAGGGCCAGCGTTTAATGGAGTGCCGCGTTAGAAACAAACCAGCAGTCCTACATCGTAAGGCTGGAGTAAGCAGGCCAGCTCTGGATTTTTATACTTGGATTTGAGCATGCCCTCTGGGGGCCGCTAGTGACCGAGAGGGGATTTCAAGACGCCGAACCCGGGTTGAGGAATAAATAACAACTAGAGTCACTTATTTGCACATACCATGCAACTTATCCTTTCTCTAACAAGTTACGGATACCCTATCCATTGCCTGTATTGGGCTTGGGTCTCGGTGTACACAGTTTCCTCGGGACTTCCGAGGCCCTTGCTGATGGATACCAACGGACTGTCCGAGAAACTGATAGAGAGGTGAGACATGGGCAGGTTAAAGTGGGAACCCCTTTTCTGTCAAATGCCGTCTCTCTTAGGATCAGAATCTTCAGCTCGCGAAGAAAAAAGCACATCACACCGGGTCAAGCCTGAAAGTCTCGGAAAGACGTGCAAGCGAAGCGTGGGGGTACAGGAGGCTCGAGGACCCCTTGGCGTGACAAGGATCGGGATCACCACGGTCAGGGAGTTTGAGACATCTCTAACCAGAAACATATTTAATCAGAGACATCATGCTGTTTTTGATGATGGAAATCGGATTTGTCGTCTCGCCGGACTCACACACGTGGCTTTCTTTGCAGATGATCTCCGCTCATTTGTGCCAGCGCGAGTCAATGAAGGACCTGCGCGGGAAGAGGGTGTCAAATCAACCCGCATTGAGACAACAGCAGACGTGTCTGAGACGCTGCAACTGTCATGACGGACCGGTTTACCGGCCCCAACAAAGCCTAACTCTCCCTGCTGAGAAAAACAGCAAACTGGCCTGGCGACTCGCTGGTAGAACAGGACGGCCAGGGGAAGATGCAATGCTGACGCTGCGGCACATCTGACATGCCCCCTAAACGAAGAATTGGCAACGAGACCAGACCTTGGTCAAGTATATGAACTTGGCAACCACAACAAGCTGCTTGGTAAAAGATAGAGCCAACAGACCGCCCGCTTTATTTGGCCACTAATTCCATTTCTGCCTGTGCAATCAACCGGATAGAAAGTCAAACGGGCCGAGCGGGTAACTACACATTTCGCCTGATAGTTACCGCTTCCTAGGAAGCGGGTCTGTCCGACGGAAGAAGTGGCAAACAGGTTGACCGCTGCCCACACGCACGGTTAAGGAGGTCCGGAACTCACCTAGAAGCGGTACGGGCCTTGTGCTATGTCCATCGAGCCTTGTGTGAGGCCACGCGCGCGGGACCTTGCATGTCGGTTCCTGGAGACTTTGCGCGCTCCTCAGGAGGTCGGGAATTCAATCTTAGCTGCCCGGATCTTCCGTACCACCTTCCAGTTCCAACGCATCGGCCTCTGGAGCCAACCGCGTATTCGGACTTGCATGCTGCACTTTTTCGATGGGCCCGACGCCTGCGCGGGAGTCACTCAAGGACAATGGAACAAATGTATTTCTGTCGTCCGGACTGTCCCTCGGTTGGTTCTTGACTCCGCAACAAGCGGGCCTTGACCTCTTGAACCCCTGCCTTGCTCGCAGAGAATACAGGCCCGGCGCTTCTCCTTGACAATGAGAGTTGAAGGGCTGAGATGTCTGGAGGAGATGCTGGGAAAAAAAAGTAAAAAAAAAAACCTCGTTGGGCGATGTTGATGATACATCCAGATGGTCGTCACTGCTTACCTCCCTAAAGGTACCTACCTATTTGCCCACTCTTCGCTCTGAGGATGGCAGATAGCGACGGAACCAGAGTTGAGGCCCTCGGGAAGCAGCCATTGGCTGGACTGTGCTTCGGCCGGAGATTTTGCATCTAACTAATACCACATTACCTTCCTCTTCCCGAAGTCAAAATATCACGGTCGTGGTAGGTACCTAGTCATTACGCTCCAAAAGCTCCGTGCCAATCGAGGGGCGTCTCACGCTTTCCATAGAGGTTACATTGCCACACTTTCACAGACTGGTCATTCAGATTCCTTATCCTATCTGGCACCTCTGGTTACCTATCTTGCTTCCCGTTGCCCCTTGGGTTCCGTTTCTTTCACGCTTTTACATGCAGTGGTCCGAATCGGGGAGAATTGTGTCCCCCAGTGGGCGTTGCTGGGCCGTTGATGATCCTCGTGGAAACCTTTGGAGGCGGAAAACCTGTAACCTTCAAATTGGCAAGCAATTGGGTAACTGCTCATACATGCCAAGTAGGAGATCGTCTTTGTCTCTCTTTTTCGACTCTCTCCAACAAGCTTTTGATTTTCTTTTTTTTTCTCGGCTTCCAGGCACAAGTGGGGCCTCCCCACATCCTGCGTCATCCCCAATTGAAAAAGGGAAAATCAAGCCCCCACATCGTGCATGCTGCCAAGCCGCCTTCGTCATCAAATATGCGCGAGCCTCCAGCTCGACAAGGGGCATTGGGTTTTCGTGGGGCGTGTTCGCTGCCCGTTTTGTCCCATTGCATTGGATGCCTCCGCACCGCACCTCCCTTGCCAGACATCAGTTTATCTTCGATCCCCACAGCCTCTCAACACATTTTTGATGCTTGCACAATTACATTCACAGTATATACATTAATATGGCAGTCAGAGGGCGGCAGCTAAGGTAGAGCGATTGACATGAAGCGGATGCTGACATCGTGTTGAAGGCGGGCAGCTCCACTCTTTTGTCGTGTCGTCCTGCGGTTCGATGAAAAGTCCATTCCGAGCGCGTCCCAGGAAGAACAACGCGCTTTTGACAGGCACTTGGAAATCTGGAATGGTAGGGCTGGTTCCTTTGGAGTCCCCACTTCAGAACAGCGCGTGCGACGCTATTCCAAGGCGTTCCCTGTCGTCACAGAAATAGGTCAGGCTGGTAAGAAATATCGAAGATCGAATATAGTTACACGAGGTATTCATTCGTACTTCGTAGGCTCGTCGCAGATCCGTCGGGCAGGTCGAAAACAGCTTCTTTTCCCCGCTGCTTGCTTGGTAACGTCAATTACCGGGCGCTTCCGCTCTACTGCCCGCCGTGCCAGCGCCCAACGGGCAGCAGGGCCTCGATTGAAGCCTGCCGGTTGATAAGATAAACTGCCAGGGATGGAAGGCCTTCTCCTACCAAGGCGACTGCGCACAATGAGGCGTAAAGATGCGGAAGGGGTCGTTCTTTTCGTGTCACACCTTCGAGGGTATGTACACTCTGTACTGCCATTCACGGAAGTGGTGTAGTAAATGGAAAAGCCATGCATTTGGCAGTCATTTATAAATACAATATGTAGGTACCTAAGGTAACTCAAGTGCGTAAACCTTTTTTTGCCTCCTTCCCGGTGTACAGAGTGCTTCGTACATGCAGTCGTCGTTGAATTGCGGTTTTGCGCCTTCAAACTCTCACTCTGCCTCTGTCTTACTTTTTTCAGAGACCTCGGCCCCGTATCATTGGATGATGGGTGAAACTGTGGGTTTCAACGTCCAAGACACACCGAGAACCGCGTCACTGACGGGGGACCCTTGCCCCTCCCAAATTGCCTAGAACCAAATGGCCAAGTCCCGTTGGATCGGACAGTGAGCAAGCGATCGAGAAACCCGTCAGTGGAAGCATCTCTGGGGCCGAGCCAGGCGAGCCAGGCGAGATTTTTAGCGCGGTGCTCAGGCATTTGCTGCGGATTTCTGGATAGGTACTGGCCCAGAGATTTGAAATCCGGTGCTTCCATCCCCCTGGCAAATTCCACCACTCTTCGAAATACGGGAACATCAAGAACCTTTCCAGCTTCACGGCGGCGAGCTTGCATAAAACAGGGATAGATATTCAATTCATGTCCCGGTTGTGTATACGGTAACTGCATAATACCACCCAGTTCCAGGTTTCTTCAATTCCTTCCAGGTTGTTTGGGCTGAGCGGCAGAGCGGTTCCAAGTTGCGGGCTGTTTCTGGCTTTTCCGGCAAGGCAGGTCCAGGGCTGTGCGTGCCTTCCAGGTTCTGTTACGCCGTATCCGGGCCACTTTATTAGTTTACCAACCAAACTGCCTGCCTGGCCGTTCCACCCACCTCAGGGAGGGAGGTACCGAGCAGTGTGCCACAAGCAATGCCCGACATTCACAGTGACTGCAACAGGCGCACCCCAGGAACAAAGTCGGCCGTTGCAGACAAACCAAAAGGTTTCGGGGCAAAACAAGTAACCCAGCCAGTGTTTCCCGGCCTGCCAACCTCCACCCGCATTCGACACGGCCCTTTCATTTTCCCATGTCTGCGGTCTTCCCGCATTTCCCTATCCTCGATTTGATTTTTTTTTTTTTTTACCTGAGCAACGGGGTCGCCTGTTCAAGCTGTCGTTGCGGATCCCCGACGGTTCTGGCCCCCAGTTACCGGCACCAACGGCAACGCCGCTTGGCAGCGTCTCGAAAGATCCGGTCGAAGCTCGTTCCCTCGTCTCGTCGTTCGTTCGCTTGTTCACTCGTTCGCTCGTTCCATGCTTATCGCCATCTTACACCGGCGCCCAGCAGCTCGCCAGCTTGGATCGCCACGGAACGGCACCGGCTGTGAAACTGTTAGACTGCAGCACGCGGCAAAAGGCGTACAGGACATTCTCTCGCAACGCTTGTGGCCTATCACCGCCGCCTCCCGTCACAGCGACTAGCGCCCCATCCGCCAGCCACTCTGAAACCAACTTGCCGAATCCCAGGTACCCCGGACCTGTGGCGGCCACACCTCAAAACTTCACGCTCGTTTTCTTGCCTGCACTGCGGTGCCGGTCGATAGCTAGCCGCGGATTTGCGCTCCTCCCTGAGCCCACTGACTGCCTGTCCTTTTCGTGCCGTGTTGGTTCAGGACCAAGCTACCCAGACAGTCCTCGGCGCCACGACGAAGCACGCGCGACATCGGCTCTTCCTGTGGCTCGCTCGACGCTGCGTTTGGCAAAAGCTGAAGGTTGGCTTGTGTGATAGCTGCCAATCGTTCTTTCAAACTTCCGATCAGCGACCCTGGCGGGCGACTCTCGGGCGCGACCGCCGCCTCGACAAAACCCCCCACACCAAGAGATCAACACTTCTCTGTGAGACCGCTACCCACGGCCTGTGGGGCGGGAAAGGATACACTAAGGAAGACGGGAGGAGGAAAAAAAAGGGAAAATAAGCTCAGCGAGGGAAAGCTGAAGCCACAAAAGACTCGGTTGCACGGGTGGAACACAGAACTATTACCCATTTCGGTCGAGCGCTTCGCACAGGAAATCACTGCGAGTCTTGCAGCTTCGAAACTTGATCGACCCACTATCCCGGATCGGGCCTCAACCTGGCGGCCATGGCACCCATGACACCTCGACTCAAGATCCTATCAGGTAAGTCCTGCCAACTGGTCCTGTGCAAGTTATTTCTCCGCTCCTCCTCTTGTGTTCCCCTTGCCGCCCACAGCTTAGCGTGAACTCGAGATGGAGTGCCCGAAAAGAGTGGGCATCGCATCGCATCTTTAACGCTCGACCCGCCGCGATCCCAACTTTCCCCAAGCGCACCTCGTCACCACCACGCTCTTTTTTTTTTTTTTTTCTTACCGAGACGGCCGGAGGAATTGCTGCATATGCATCCTCGCCTGCACAACCAGACATGTCGGACTATGAGCTGATGAACGTTGTCACAGTGGGCGGCAACCCCATCTCCGCCTTCTTGTCATGGAGGCTTCAAGCGACGAACGCCTGCGACGTCACCCTCGTGTGGAAGACGGGCTTTGAGCATGTGTCGCAATACGGAATATCCTTCAAGTATGCGCTCTCCCCTCCGCGCCCTGGCCCATTCTCTCTCTTTTTTTGGAAGTTTTCTGTGCTAACTATTTCGCCCTTCAGATCATCTAACTTTGGCAATGAGCGATTCAAACCCCGACATGGTATGTACCCGCCTTCCGACGCACCTATCACCTTTGAGCCGGTTTCCCCTGCGACTGTGCGCCATGTACTAAACATGAAATTTATACAGTCGTACGAACACCTGAAGAGGCAGCCTCTCGTCGAGAAGGCGCATTTGACTATGTTATCCTTTGTATAAAAGCGCTTCCCGACGTCTACGATTTGGCATCCGTCATCGATTCCGTCGTTACCCCTCAGCACACATGCATCCTCGTGAACACGACAAACGCGCTCGGCCTCGAGTCGGCAATCGAGGAACGGTTCCCAACCAACGTGGTGCTCTCTCTAGTTTGTGGCGCCGAACTCGCCCAGCTCAACGGAAGCGAATTCGAGCATAAGGGCTCGACGGAAGTGTGGGTTGGGCCCGCCAACGCCAACGCCAACATCCCTCCGACAATACAGGAGGACATGGCGCAGGCTCTGGCCATGACACTGAGCACTGGCCAAGTAGATTGCAAGGTATCCCCCAACATTCGCCAGCAGCAATACGAGCGGGTCATCGGGTATGTTTGCCTCCTCTTTGCCCGTACGACAGGAGCCTAACTTGTTCTTAGCCCGATCGCATTTCACCCACTAACAGTAATCTTCGAAACGCCGGACTACGCTGCGCTACTTGAGAAAGTTGGCGTGTCGAAACTCGTTTCCGACCTTATCGACGAGTTAATTGCATTGGCGGAAGCCCAGGGCTGCAAATTCCCCGCCGAGTTCAAGCAGAACACGATCAACGAGTTTTCAAGATCGACCGTTGAGAACATCATGTGGCAGGACTACTCGGCAAGGCGACCCATGGAAGTTGAGACCTACCTTGGCTCTCCCATCAGACTATCCCAGGACACCAAGGTCGGAGTACCGCGTGTTGAAGCCCTCTACGCTATCCTTCACAACCTTAACTTGGTCAACCGAAGCCGGCCAAAGATTGACACCGCGGTGACAGCGCCAGTCCCGCCAGGATCTCCCGCCACCACCCCTTCTCCGCTTCCCCGTATGTCGGCCCAAGGACCTCCTCGGTCGATGCCGAATGGCAACGGCATGCACCCCCGCCCACGTCCAAGAGGGGCGTCCTCAATGGGGCCACCAGGGCCTGGAATGCGCCGCCCCCCGCCGTCGATGAATGGGGGACCGCCAAACGGGTATCCACGTCCGCCGCCGAACGGCCGTCTTCCGTCGCGGAGGGGCTCAATGGAGGGCGCGGATCTGGAAGAGTTTGGTCATCTTATGCTTTACGATGACGTCGCAGAGGGGGGGGAGGCTGCTTATGGCCCGCAGGATATTGCTCTTAGGGAAAGAGAACTGCAGCTTCGTCAACGGGAGCTTGCTCTCAGGGAACAAGAAATGAGGCTAAGGCGCCCCGGCCCAGGAATGGGCCCAGGGCCGGGTCCGGGCCCGAGGCGAGGACCCCCTCCTCCGCCTTCACGAGGTGGTGGCGGAGGTTTCGACGATGACGATGAGGACGATGACTTCTTCGATCCCCTCCCTTCGGCCGGTGCGCCGATGATCGACCCCGACAATTTCGACATGATGAGCGTTACCTCGAGGAAAAACCGAAAAGCATCGGGCGCAGCACCGGGCTCTGCCGCGCAGTTCCGCAGGAATCCCGAACAGGACACGGGCCCGCCGCGCAGCAGGTTTCGAAGTTTTGGAAGGAATCGGTCGAGTCAAGTCATGGCAGCGATGCCACCCACGCATAGCGATATCATGGATGACCCTCTGCTAGGCTTTACCTCTAACCGATATGGGGCCGTGGACCGGGGGATGATACACGCCGGCTCAAGGGCGAATTCTCTAACGGCTGCTCGTCTTGACGAGCTGCAGTACAACCAAGGACCACCACCCATGGGCATGAATGGGAACGGGCCTCGGCGCGTGAGCCAGTCACCCGGCAACCCATACAGCCCGTCAATCCGCGGCGGCGTCCCGGGCGGGCGCCCATCACCACCGAATGGGTATCACCCTCAGCCGCAGGTAAATGGTGGGGGACGCCCATCACCCCCGGATGGCATGCGGCAGCCAATGCCACGCTATCCGCCGGGCCAGGGCAACGTTGTGGCCCCGCAGCAGGTCGAGCAGCACGCTGGGGTGAGCGCCCTTCACCCACCCAAGACGAAGAGTCCACGAAGTCTGACCGGCAGTGCGAGCGCCAGCGCGGGCAGTGGTGATTCCACCAACCTCGACTCGGAGCCGTCGGCGCATAGCAGCCAACAGTCCCTGGGCCCTCGTCCACAGATCGGCGTCCGCTAAATGTTCACACGGCTGCCAGCTATGGTGGGTGTTGGATTTTACGAGCTGTTGGCAGAATGCTTAACCGAGCCCATCAGAGCGGTGGGATGAGATGGGGGGGCTGCGGCGTAGGGACGGGGTCCCGGACTCCTCACAACCCCCGAACTGCCCGATCCACTTACATGCATGCCACCCAACCACCGGGCGGCATCCCCTTTGCTCTTGGAATAAGGAGCTGGCATATTCACGCGCGCACATGAGAACTGGTCTATAGGGAGACAACCGGGCAGACGACACGGAAAAGGGAAAGACACGATGCATCTTGGGTTTTTTAGATGGTGTGGGTTGGCTTGTCTTGGCTTTAGTTGGCTTGAGGGACGGGGGAAATTCTTGGCTTAATCAAATCCATGATCCGGGGCGGCGGCACGCGCGCTCGTAAACTAACTATTCCATAATTCTTAGTGTGTGTGGCTCGAGTCTTTCGGCCAAGTTTGGGTTAGAGGGTGGGTTAGCGGAGGGGACGGCAAAGGGCACGCAAGCAAGCGATGGATGGTTTGACTCTTTTTTGAGTCGTCTCTGTATCAAGTACATAGGCATTCCCTTCTTTTTCCTTCTCTTTTTGGTCTATTCTCTCGTCTTCACTCTGCGGACCGTTTGCTTCCTGTCCTTTCTTTTGTTATGTGGACCGGCCTATGACTCTGGCTGAAAATATCCGTACGAACATAGACATGGACATCTATGTTTGTGGTAATATCATCCATCCATGACTACATGCACATACATATTTGGTTGTTGGTAGCTGCTGCTGTGTTGCCGCTTAGCGCGAACTATAAAAGATTTCCTTTGGTGGCCGTGGTGGGTGGGATTGCGTTACTCGCCCTCAGTTGCTGCCTCTCTCCACCATTCATATCACATCTTCAATCATGTTTCCTCTCGAGTTGTTCATATCATACCTTTCCCTCACCCCTAAAATTTTGAGCAAACCAAGGAGGCAATGTCTAACTTTCCCCGAAAGAGCATCACCACACACCATCTTCGCTACACACCATCTAAGTCAACATCCCACAATGGGTGCCGAGACCTGCCGCGAAAGCTGCGAACAATGGGGCCCTAAGGGCAAGGTAAATCAAGCTCAAGAAATGGTAATAAAGACGACCTGTCTCACCATCCGGGCACGACACACGACGCCAAATTCCGGCTCGATGCTGACCCCGGTATAAAATCCATGATTGTCATTATTCCATTGCAATTACTCTCATGCATTACGAATTTGTGTCCACTATGCCATGCCTGCTTTGGTTTACCAAACACGGTGGCACAAGATAAATTAGCATCGTATATTTCGATATCAGGTCGTTTAACTACAGCTGGATATAGCGGAAAAATTACTTGACTCGCATGGCGCAGTTGTGGTGAAATATTTCGATGCGTATTGAATCTTGCCGCGCAAGGGCGCTGATGAACCTGGAAGTTCAAAGACCTGAAAATGAGTGGCCCATAACACCTAGGTATCCAGCAAAGAGGGCTATCCCTAGGGCAGCGAGCGGGGAATATGACAAGGATACAAAATAGATCTAGGTTTGAGAATTACCTGGCACAACTTGGGTATTGCAAATGTTTGGTTCTCACGGACTAGAGCCCATCAACACCGGACCTCTGGTCAAGCGACGAGTAATACACGCGGTGCATGTTGTGGGCGGGCATGGGCGCGGGGAGACTGGACCACCGGAAAAGAGGTAAGCATGTTGTCGTACATGCTGGATCACCTGTTTGTTTACTCTTACTCCTGAGTTACCACCACTTACACGGTTGCCCGTCTTGGAGATGGGGCTGGCTTGGCCCTCTGCCAATCAAGACTTGAGTCGGCCCACCCCCGCTCTCCAAATTCAACGACTTGGAACACTGACGTGACTGACAATCTGAAACTGTTCGCGATTTACTTGCACAGTGACTACATCGTACGTCAACAAATGCTGGCGAGACCACCTCGAATTGGACTGATCGCTTTTTTAATGCTTACTTGAGGACGTCGTCTGTGTTGCTCTGGAACCGACGCAATCATTTTGACCATGGCGACACGCAATTTCAACACAAACACAACATCACGCCAATCTATGGCATCGTCAGGAGGCGCTGTGAAGGCAAGACAGCTGGTATGTTTAACTCTACTCCTTTCTGCTGACCCACCCTCACTCAACCTTCTTCGGAAGCAGCCGCCCAAAGTTCCTCGGCACTGACATTCATATTTGGGTTCTCAGGCTCAGCTCCAAGCGCAACTGGTTCAACTCTCCACGAATCTGGCCGACACGGAGAACTTATTGCGCATGACGAGCGTCCAAGCCGAGTCCATGCGTGGTTTGGGGAGTTGGCATGCCGGGATGTAGGTCACCTTTCGTCTTGGCTCTGGCCCATGGTTAACCTTTGCAGGCTCATGGCTGCCAGCAAAGTTCTAGGAGAAGAATCGGTCCAACAACAACAGGGCAGCTAGACAATGTTCCCCGGGATGAGATAGTCCGTTAGAGAGGATGCAGCGTAGCCACGTTGTTCGAGTAGAGGGGGCGGCTTCATGGCGGGCGCTCCTGACGACAATGGGGATCTGGTTATATTACCATGATTGCCTGCTGCCATAGTTGAATTTCGATGCCGAAAAGATATATCAACCACCGCCGCGCTTCCGCGGGCGCCGGCCCTTTCTCCGGCACCTTGGCACTCGGACGGCCCGAGAGGCGAGATTTATGGGCTAGTCGGTAGGAGCTTTCGGGGTGGGTTGGGAGCTATCCTAGGTAGTTGTGACTTGGGCTGGAGTTCAGAGGCCGCAGAAAGGAACGTGAGATTCCCTGGACGCGTCAGAAATATAATTCCTGCGAGAACAGCCTTGTCCAGGACACCCGCTACTCCTCGCGACTTCAAACGCTGTCCAGTTGGATGACGAGTCCAAGACCGCGGGGGATTCGATGTTTGATGTTTGAGGTGGTATCAACCTTCTTGATTTTGTTCCTGTAGATGACTAGTCCTTTTCTCAAGTCCCCTTTCGGTTTTCCGCTTTGGCCTAGTTGCGCTAAGCGGATATCTCCTTTCCCTTCCACACGTGTGGCATCTGCGAACCAGAACATCAGCCCATGGTTTCTTGGCGCCCTTGCTCTTATTTTCAATTTCCGAAGTGCAAGACTGCCCATCAATGAGAGTCGAATCACAGAATTTGCAGATGCTCTGCTTGACTGTCGGTTTCAGGCGGATCCTGGTCTTGAGGGAGACAGCCCGTAAATCGGTCGCCAACCTCCTGCTCATTCCATCGAGAGCTTTTCCAGAGCGAGCACCACTCGTGTCCCCGGCAGAAGAAAGATGATTGTTGGTCGAGGGCGTGTTTGTGTTTGTGTTTCTGGTGCAGCCCGAGTCCGAGGGTGCGCATGGGATTGCAGAGAGAGTGATGGCCGCTTGCTGAAGAAAAGAGATGCGCGAGTAGATGGCCCTGTTCTGCACGCTTCCACCGGCTTTTCCTTTTGCCATGGCTGCACCAAGGAGACCACAGGCCAAGCACAATTGCTCTCTGTGGTGGGGAGTCTAGGCGATTATTCGTATATATGCACCCTTTGAGCTTTCTGCTTTCTTTGTTGGCTGGAAACTCTCCGAGAACAACACAGGACAATTACAAAGTACGGCTGCCCACATGAAAATGAAACCGAGGTGGTCTGTGCAGCAGCAGCAGCAGCCCCACATCTCAGTCATCGGCCACCCAGCTAAGCCACAAGAAGTTAGACAGCTGATCGTGGGCAGGTTTTGAGGCTGTGCCTTTGCCGACTTGGAGGTCGATTTCGCTTTCTCCTCTCCCTTGCCTTTCACTCCCATCACTACATTCCAACGACGCCCATCAATCAGCCCGGTTCAATACTCGGCAGTCAACCACGACAACATCTCTTCGTATTTTGACCTGGTAATCGATTTTACTCGGTCACATCGCCAACCAAATTTCCTCGACCCATTTCTTTGTTTTCCCGACCAGTCGCGTCAGCTTCCCAGCACCAAAATCGCCCAACATGTCTGGAGAAGAGGATCTTATCGACTACTCCGACGATGAGCTCAACAACGAGACCACCGCTCCTGCCTCGAACGGCAAGAAGGGCGATGCCGCCGCTGCTGCGCAGAACGTCGACAAGAAGGGTTCCTATGTCGGCATCCATTCGACCGGTTTTCGCGACTTCCTTTTGAAGCCGGAGCTTCTTCGCGCCATCGCCGACTGCGGCTTCGAGCATCCGTCGGAGGGTTAGTCCTGACAAGTTTCATCCCCAGCTTATCGTTAATCCCCGTGCCCTTCTCGCGGGTCCGTCCATCACGCAAGCAAAAAGAAAACAAAGCAAAAGCTACGCGAAGCAAGAGCTGTAGGGGAGCGGAATTTGTTGTCGGCGCAGCGCGCAGCAAGGGAATATTGGCGCTTGGTCATCGCCGCGGGCCACCCGGCTGTTCGGCCTTCCTGTCCCCAAGGATAGGCAATCCTCTCGGGGTGCCGCTGAGCACTGGCGCACGCAAGACCCTTGCAGATGATGGTCATCATCGTGCTCAAATTGAGTCGGCAATATGGGAAGCGGTGAGGTCGCTTGATGGCTGCTCCAGGGCTCCATGCACCGAACTCATCGCCGGACGCTTATCATGGGACACTGTCCCTGACTCAATGCCGCTGACTGCCCGAGGTAGTCGGGGAGGATCTGTGATGGCGCCATGAGCGGCGGTCACACAGCAAACTGTGCGCACTGTTCAGCTGGTGGTTGAAAGAGCTGGGAAACTGGAAAGCGAAGGGACTGCGGAGGACACCCGCCATTCTTTTTTCTGTTCTTTTTTCTGTGCTTTTTTGCTGCGATGATGGACGGGCCCATGCTTCCTTCCTGAATCACCCCGTCCGCCATCCTTATCACGTTTGCAAACTCCGATTCTAATGCGGTCCCCGACTACAGTTCAACAGACATGTATCCCACAGGCGATGCTTGGCGGCGATATCATTTGCCAGGCAAAGTCTGGTCTCGGTAAAACGGCCGTCTTCGTGCTCACCACCCTTCAACAAGTCGAGCCCGTCGCTGGAGAGTGCTCGGTGTTGGTTATGTGCCATACCCGCGAGCTTGCATTCCAGATTCGCAACGAGTACAACCGTTTCAGCAAGTACATGCCCGATATCAAGACGGGTGTGTTCTACGGTGGTACACCTATCCAGAAGGACGCCGAAGTCCTGAAGAACAAGGAAACGCACCCCCATATCATTGTCGGCACCCCCGGTCGCCTCAATGCCCTTGTTCGTGACAAGCACCTGCGGCTCGGAAACGTCCGCATGTTCGTCCTGGACGAGTGCGATAAGATGCTCGACCAGATCGGTAAGTAGGTGGATCTCTCAGCGAGCGACAACCCGGCTAACGTACTCCAGATATGCGCCGCGATGTGCAGGAGATCTTCCGGGCCACGCCGCAGCAAAAGCAGGTCATGATGTTCTCTGCCACGCTTGCTGACGAAATCAAGCCGATTTGCCGGAAGTTCATGCAGAATCCCACCGAGCATTATGTTGACGAGGATACCAAGTTGACCCTCCACGGTCTTCAGCAGTACTACATCCCTCTTGAGGAGAGGGAGAAGAACCGGAAGCTGAATGAGCTGCTTGACGAGCTTCAGTTCAACCAGGTCATTATCTTTGTCAAGAGCACTATTCGTGCCACGGAGCTCGACAAGCTTCTGCGCGAGTGCAACTTCCCCTCCATTGCCGTCCACTCCGGTGTCAGCCAGGAGGAGCGGTATGTGTTGGCCAACCCACATGACTGATGAATAGCGTTGCTAACTCCCATGTAGTATTCGTCGGTACAAGGAGTTCAAGGAGTTTAACAAGCGCATCTGCGTGGCCACGGATGTGTTCGGCCGTGGCATTGATATCGAGCGGATCAACCTCGCTATCAACTATGATCTGCCCGCCGACGCCGATTCGTATCTGCACCGTGTCGGTCGTGCCGGCCGTTTCGGCACCAAGGGTCTCGCTATCTCGTTCGTCAACTCCGACCAGGACAAGGAGGTTCTGCAACAGATCGAGAAGCGCTTCGAGGTCGCTCTTCCGTATGTGCTCGTCCCAGACATCTCGATAAGTCATATGCTAACACCCCAACCAGCGAGTTCCCCAAGGAGGGCATCGATGCGTCCACCTACATGGCCGCTTAAGCCAAAATGCGATTTCTTCCCAGGCCTACCTTCTCGATGGCCGTGGTTTTTGTGTCTAGCAACCAATTCTTTTTTTTCTCGGGTGGTCGGAGATGGATCGCATGGGCAGGCTTAAAACGAAAACCAAAACGCCGTGCCGTGTGATCTTAACCTAGGTCATGTAAAACTAGATGGTCTCATACTGGGAAAATGCAGTCTCTCTCGTTGCTTAACCACGTGTTTGTTGTCAAACCAACGCGTGTGTGTGCCCGTGTCTGGTTAGCTGGAAGGGGATTAATACTACGTCCACGTTCGCGTCCACCGGATTCGGCCATGCCTTTCTCGACGATGCGTCCTCGGTTCCCTCGAGTTCGGATGACGACGAGGGCCTGGCCCGCTTCAAGAGCCACAAACAACAGCTGATGATTACGACACAGTTGTCCATGACTCCACCAACATCCCACTTGACCTCACCGCTGCGAATCGCCGACGGATGGAAAGGCGAAGAGATGGATATTATCGGCTCTCGCGGTCCCATGATTCCTAATCTCCCTTCCATGTTTTGCCTCCGAGAGCGGCCGGCGGGGACGATGATGCGCCTCACCGTTCACTCCTCACTCGCCATCCCCCTTGCAACGGGACCGGAAGGCGTGGTGTGGATGGGTCTGGTCGAGACTCGGACTGCGCCGTGCGTTGCATTTGCATTTTGCGCTTGCTTCGGGACGCTTGTTCCCTGCGCTGAGTCCGACGGGATTACCTGTCCGTATGTAACTACCTACCCTGCCTACCCTACCTACCCGCTCGATTGTCTGTGCCTCATCGGGATGTGGGTGCTTGGCGGCTGTGCCGCGAGGGGTGAGCGGCGCTGAGTGTGAACGGTGAACGGGACTTGCTTAGCCGCTCGGGCCCGGTTATGGGTGAGAGGTGAACAGTGAGTGAAGTGAAATGGGATGTGAGCCGAGATTTTCCAGTTCGGTTTTCGGTTTTCTGTTTTCTCGCTCGCTCGTGGCCAGGAATGTGAAGCCTTTGGTTTGGTGATGGGAGAGGGGTGGTTATCCCCGTGCGCACGCTGAGGATAACTCAAAGTGAATCATCGCGAGTCCATCGTCATGTGTTTGACTCAGTGATGAGAGAGCGGCGAAAGCACATATGGGCTCTCGAATTCTCCGTGTTCAATCGTGCTGCTAGTGCCGGATGAAGTTGGGACTGTCGTTAACCAGGGGTCTTAGGTGTCATTGCCGTCATACTGGTCAACATGCTCACCCGGTTGACTGATCTTTTCTGCGGCGTGGCTATCCGGCCTAGGATGAGTGTTACCGGGGAGATGACGGCCGTGTCATGAGACGATGACACGGAATGAATATCCTCCTTGAGTGGTGAGGAGGCTGGAGAGCGGCCGATGATATTCTCAAACACGGATGTGGGGTGGTTGTGCTGCTGCCTGGGCAAAGGACCCCCCAATCCTTCCCACACCGCGTCCTGAAAAACGCAGCAGTTGCCAGGCGAACACGAACACACGCGGGGCAAAGGGAATCTTGTTTTGTGAGTGAGCTACTTGGTTGGCCGGGTTTCGCCGGAGTTCATGATGTGATTTGGGCATCTCGTGGGTGAGAACCAAAGAGGAGAACCCTTCTTTTTTTCTCTCTTTTTCTTTTTCTTATTCTATTAATCGTCGTCACCACTGGAAGCAATCTAACCGCCGCCACCGCCGGCATCGTCAGCAACCCCCAGCCCACCTCTCGGTGAGCTTTCAGCATGAGACCTGCCTATGCCGAAGAACGCCGGCGTCAGGCCAATGGAGATGAGATAGTAGCCGTTTCGGGACAGTCAATGCTTATTTCAACTCCGTTGAGACCTGTCCATCTTCACAACCACCCAGATAGCAATCCCGGGTTCGGGAAGCTGAGCGGCTTTCACAGCCCCAGCGAACCTGCTGCTGCCGGATGACTTTGACAGCCGGTGCACTCGTGAAGCAAGTAAACTGCCCTGGGCCTCGGCGGATATCGAGATGACAACGTGACCAGTTTTTTCAGCCTTCTTGCCTCCGAGAGGATTGTTCTATCAGCTGACTACGTTCTGGCATGATTGGTGCAGGTTGTCTCATGAGCCAGCCCACTGACAACTCGCAAGTCAGCCATGAACGACGTGGTCCGATATCGCGGTTGTCCTTGGCAGTTCTCAAGCAGGCAAATTTTGGTTTGAGTCATTGCTGGGACGGACTTTTGAGTTGGGCTGAGCTGTCTCCCCTGGTCAAGGCCAGATCGGGGAGAAACGATTGGTTGCGCTTAGCCAGTCACCAGAGACTGCGAGACAAAAGGCCTTGCAAAGGCTAGCCAAACGAGCCAGAGATTGCTTGTCTGCCTTGTTGGATGGCACTGATGGATACAGGAACGACACCGTCACTTGTCGTTTTCGATGTTGGGTTGCTCTGCATGCATTTGCACAAGGCGTCACCGACTTGGCTGAACCCATGAATAGCACAACCAATTTGCAGGCCATGCAGCTGGTGACGGGCCGAAAGCGGGGTCAGGCATTGAGGGCCTCTTGATTGGATGAACAGGCATTTCTGAGACCGTTTTCGATATTTGAGTCTTGATGCGGCCCATTCCAGACACCCATTTCCAAAAGTTCGACGCGGGGGGTGAGGATGCGCGCGGCAGGAGAGCCGATTCGAAGGATTCTGATCTCAGCCAAAGTATGGTTGGAAAATGTACGCGAACAACAACTATGGCCGTGAACTTTGAGACCTCGGCCCAGGAGACATTCGCGTCTGCCGGACTTTAGACGACACGGTGACTGGCGGATTGACTCCCAAAGTTTGAGAGAGCGTCGCGGTCGCCGGTCACCCTGGTTGCGCCTTTGTGGACTCGGGCTTGGTGATGCGCCGGGCTGGGCTGTGTGAGGCAATGAGAGGGGCTGCTCTGGCGCGCCCCATGAACACAGCCTGCCCGCATTGCGGGGGAAGTCGCACAACTTGGGGCCTCAGCATGCGATCGGCGTTAACCATGTATCATGTTGGAAGACGGCGCCCGGACGGACCGGAGCCTCTTCGAAATACGGATAAGCACTCATCCGTCTCTCCATTCTCAGTGGACATGCGGAGCTGAAACGGCTACGAGACCACTCAATCAATGGATGAGACCACGCTCACTCACTTCCTCTCCGGAGGTTCAGGCGCACTTGAGTGGCTCGATCACTCGGGGCGTGCAAGCCGTCGCGCGGCTACCAGACGATGGGCGCTGAAGGCAGAGGCAGGCTGCAGGATAGTTACTGGCTACCTGGTCCTATCGTCCGTCGCTCATGGTCAGAGTCAAGTTCTCAGATCTCGCTTCGCTCGGCGCGTCATCTTAGGTAATGATGGCCAAGCAAGCACCGAGGTTCGTCATGCGCAGCCTTTTTCCGTCTCAAAAACTTGCGTCCGAAAGCTTTGTTATTAGTGGAGGCGTTCGAGGACGCAAGGGACTCACCGGGCAATGCAGGGAAGAGGGATGGGCAAGCACTGGCACGATGGGATGAATTCTCCTGAGTGGCGCAAATTACAGCCAATTCCGGCTGTGGCGATTCGCGCTCTCGAGATTTCCGAGACCAGTCACGCCTGTGTCGCCGCCTCGTAACACTCCCTCACTTCCCTCAGCCTGCCAGGGGTTGGGGGGGGGGGGGGGAGGGGGGTGACTAAGCTCATCAACTGGGTGGCTGAGAGTGACTCAACTTTTTCACAAAAATGAAGTTTTAACACGAGCCCGGGCACTCAGACTTTCTTGAGGCCTCACGAACATCGGAGACGACGTCTCAACGCCGACCCCCGATGATGCAATCAAGTCCCGGAAGCCACTGCCCCCGAACTCACTTCATGCTGGCTGAAATGCAAAACGCTGGGGCACTGCCGGAGCCAAGAAAACGGACACGGCGAGGGCGACGGAGAATGACGAGGAAAAGGGCACCTGTGCCTTCTTCCCAGGCTAGACCACTTTGGGGAAACCAAGAAACGCTAGACAGGGGTGATATGCCTTTGTGTGCGGGCTGGCGAGCGAGCTGGCCACACCACAACACAACCCACCCCGCCGCTTTGCAGCAGCTTGGCCAATCAAGGCATCGCTGATTTTACCATTTCTCCCATCCTCCGGGCGAGTTGAAACTATGAGTGTGTCTGGATGTGAGGTGGTGCCGACCCGGCAGATTGATGGCGGTAGAAGAGGGGCTTCGAGAAGGACGGTGTGCCTGTTGGCAAACATGACACCTGCAGGCACTGGCTCCTTCCACGTTGCCTGTCGGGACCATCGCGAACTGCTGGAACTGTCGGGACGGAGAGGAAGAAAGAGGGGAGAGAGCCGAAAGCGTTATAAAACGAGACATTGCATTCTGTAAAACGTGAGCGCAAAGTTACCCGACGCAGTTGCCATCATTTCGCCCGTATGGAATCTGGGTGCGGGCTTTGCTAGGTGCTGGGATCCTGCCAAGCGGCGTTCAATGTCGCACCGCTGACTGTCATGAACGGCTGGGACCAGGTGTGGACGGCCTGCAGGAGGAGGAGGAGTGTGTGGAGGTTGGGGGGGGGGGTAGTCGGTGGTGCAGACCTGGCTGTGGGCTGCTTGCAGCGTTTTGGCCCGAGTTTGGCAAACCCCCCGTGGCATCAAGGACCCGGCGCACCCCATTCAAAACTAAGCCAGTGCCGTGCCGAGATGTTCATTCTCCTTCCTCCCCCCCATCGAGCCGTCACGATGCTCAACTTTAAGATCTAGGAAGAAGCGGCTCTACTGTAGTCAGCTTGTGAGATCTGTGTATCTTCTCTCTCCTCTCAATTTTTCAAATCGTCCTTCTTCGTTTTCGCACTTCTTTTCGGTCCCAGTCCCTTTTTTGCAATCCCGGTTTCTTGTTCATCCCGTTCCACATCCCAATGATTGCCAGTTTGTTTGTCTAGAACGTTTCCCTTTCTCGCGACGCATTCACTTGCCCGCTGCGACAAAGGAAAACAGACCAACGGGCACCCTCTCTTTTCCCGGCAGCCTGTGCAAAAACCTAGACGACGAGCTTTCTCAGCTTCGCACCTGGTGGTGTTCGAAAACCACCCCCCCGGTCCCAACCAACCCGACCCCAACAAGGAATCCGCCTCCCATCAAAGAAAGGCGAGAAAAAAAGCGAGCAGGGTAACCAGGTCATCATCACTCATTTTTCCCGCCTGGCTTCTAACACCACGCCGGTGACCCGATCAAAACCGCCACTGCGTTCCTCAAAAGAGAAAGGGACCCGTTTTCAGGCTCCCGCCGGACTGGTCACACCACACAAGCGCTCCACGCCTGACAGTTGGGGCCACCTGGTTTTAGCCAGCGGCAAGTGTCGGTTACCTGGACCCTCGCCACACAGCGGGAAGAGTCATCGAGAACAAGGGGTCACCCGAAGCCGGCGACCTTATCTGAGTCGCCCAAACAGCCACGCGCGCGCCCTCTCACACCAAGGAGTCACATCGCCGCCTACCAAGGCCGATAGCAACTCAACGTTCCCGTCGTTAAATGCGGCTGACGACCTTGCTGCAACGACATCGTTAAGTCTCACCACACAGCAAAGCACACAGACACACACACAAGACACACACATGGTACCTGCATAGCCCACGCGCATCCCGAGCCAAGCCGCACACTGCCTGCCGCGATATCGTCATCCCGAGTCTCGAACTAGTCAGTCGTCTTGCCTGCCCCGACAAAAAAACACGTCGTCGCCTCTACGAACCCAGCTCCTCAACGCCCCGTATGGTAAGGTATTAACCACCATATAACCTCACCACTCTTCCGCTTGTCCTAGCGAAAGACACACACGATGCCTTTTGAGAGCATTGTACTTACACCAGTCGCCGTCCCCGCTCTGTCTACCGGTCTGATCTTTCGTGCAAAGTCGGCTTCTTGCGCCCAGCTCTAGAAGCCCGCTCTCCTCTTCGACATTTCCGGTTTTGCGGCAATCATTACGATTTGTCGCAGAACCAGCATCTCGATAGGTTCACGATCTGTTCAGCCCCTCTTCGGTTTTCCCGGTAGACACTGCGTGACGGCGACTGGAAGTCATTGGACGCGCCTCTATCCTCCTTAACACAAGATGATGTCCGCCGCCATCGACGAACCAACCCCTTTCGCCCAACTCACCCGCAACAATGCGCCCTATAACCTGTCATTAGCCACTTCGGCATCTTCCTCCTCCTCCTCCTCCTTCTGGTCCGATGTGTCTTCGCAGCACTCGGACGACTCGATCTCGACCGCCCCGACATCCTACTCCGACTCTTGCGATTCATTTTACTTCTCTCAACCTCTGGCCTCCTCGCAAACCTCAGTCAGCTCTCTCGGCAGCTCTTGCGAACCGGTCGTCAAGCTGCATGACCCCTGGGTAAAACCCCAGCTCCAATCTCAGAACGAAGCCGACCCTACCAAGCTCCGTCAGAACCCTCGGCGCACCGGCACCTCGGCGACTTCGCGCACCGGACGCCCGCCTTCTCTTGTGCGGCAGTCCGATCGCAAGCTCAGCTTCGTCGAGAACCTCGTTGGTAAGAAACATTCGCCTGCCGTCAAGGATATTTACTCAATGTTATTCCCTCCAGATACATCGACCCATGTTGTGGAAGCGATCTGGCCCACCTCGTCGGTGCCTCCGCGCCCTGACAGCGGAAACAAGGCAGTGCTGCCACTTCGCACCTTCATCCAGGAGACGCTGCGCCGCTCGCGGACCAGCTATTCCACCTTGCAGGTTGCTCTCTACTACCTGGTTTTGATTAAGTCGCATGTTCCGTCTTACGATTTCACCACGGAGCAGCCCGACGACTGCCGCTCTAGCCAGGCGATCCAATGCGGGCGTCGCATGTTCCTCGCAGCCCTCATCCTCGCATCCAAGTATCTCCAGGATCGCAATTATTCAGCTCGCGCATGGAGTAAGATCTCTGGCCTTGACACTCTGGAAATTAACCAGAACGAGATGGCTTTCCTCCTTGCCGTCAACTGGAAGCTCCACGTTACCGAGGAGACTTACAAGCGCTGGGCCGACTGCGTGTCCAAGTTCACGCCGACCCAGCCTCCTTCCCCCGGGGGGGCTGCCCAGCTGGTATACGAGAGACAATGCGATGACTTCCGGCGCATCATCCTGAACGTATCTCCAGAGCTCGACAACCTGGCTGAGCTGACCACTTGGTCGCCTGTTATGACGCCCACTCAAGACCTCCCCCCGCGGTCCCTTTATACGCCTCCCGCGGAACCTACTGTCGCATTTGCTTCCGATGGTGAGCTTCGCTCAGCCTCGAAGTTCCGTGGTATCCCTACCATCATGGAGCCCGTTCCGTCGATGGCGTATGTGCCCGGCCGCTTGGTTCCGGCTCTCGGCCTCCTCCCCACACCGCGCTTGACCCCCCAGGCTAGCGGACTCGGTACTCCTGCAGCGAGTGCCGCGTCTTCTCTTCTCGGGAGAAGCTCGTCGATGGGCTTTGCCATGGCTCAAGTGTCCACTTCGGCACAGGCCACTGATCGGTGGCCGCCCTCGGCAACGTCATCCCCGATGAGCTACGTGACTCGTCGTTCCTCGCTCGCCAACTCGGTCTCGACCGCATCCTCGCCCGAGTCAATGGTCTCGGATTCGTCCAGGCTCTCACGCTCCTCCTCGATCTCTTCGGCTTCCTCCGCCACCGCGCCGTCGTCCAAGTTGGACGTTCAGGCGCGATACCGGTCTGCGAAGCTGTGCAGTGAGAGGGTGAGCTTGCGGCCAACCATCGCATCGGTCCCCGAGGACCACGAGGCTTTCATGACATCATCACCCGAATCCTATGCTGTCCCAGCCGGAAAGGAGTTCAGCGAGATGTCTTTGGAGACGCCTCTGGGCCGTCGGGAACGCGAGATGGACGATGCCGCACGCGCTCTTCAGGAGCTTCAGCGCTCTGGCGCTACCCGACCGACGATGCCAGCGAGGGCTGGATCCAAGCGGGGTAGGGCTAACTCGGTCCATGACGACGTTCGCGAAATGCTCGCCGGCCAGCAGAACGATCTTTCCTGGCCCGAGTCCATGGTTCGCGCACAGGTGCCCGTCCGACGAGGCAGTTACAAGCGTGTCTGTTGCTCGACCGAAGCTGCGCGGGCGCCCAGGTTCTCTGCACTTCACCCAGCCGTTGGAGGATTTGGCGGCCCGGGGATGTGGGAGGGGATTCTCAATTAATAGCGCCCTACTGGCACACCCTATCGACTTTTCAACATGTCTAATATTGCTTTTACCGCGCCATCTCGCACATATCAGCAAACTTTCACAACAACACGGACCACCCTTGTGATACTATTGTTTTCTTGTATCGTTCCTTTTCTAGGAGGGATGAGGGCAGGTGATCTCAAATGGAGTTTTCTGCTTCCAAATACCCACCTTGGAGACCTCTAGCTCATAGACGGCTTAGATGGTGGCCAAGGGAAACGGGCGAAAAGCACGCTACGTTCTATTTTTGCATGGGTCCCGGACTCGGGGGGGAAACGGCATGGGAGGGGGAGGCGGCGGAATCCTGGTTGAATCGTTTGGCGAAGGTGGTTGTTGTCCTGTGTACGATGAGTGGGGTGGATGATTTTTTTTTTGCTTTTTACCGTCTTTCGTTTTCATTTTCTTTACCGTTACTGGCCCAGTTCTCGGCGTTCCCTACTCGCGGATGCCGAGAAGGGGAAATGGGATATTTATTAGGAGCATAATGGACGGAGCCAAGGCACCGGAGAGAAGTAAACGGCCGCCGATGCCTATTTCCTGCCTGTTGCACCGGCAACAAGGGGGAGGAGTTCGCAAAACCTTCGGTTTCTCTCCTCCCGTGCCTAAGGCTTCTTTGCATCACAAACGGAGTTTGAGCTGGGTTTTCCTCCCCAGAAGCGAGACCCTTCGGGCCCCTCGAGAGGAATCCTCTGGACGGACGAACGGACGGACGGACAGAGGCGGAACTGGATCCCATCAAGGTATCCCTTCCAAACTTGGCAGCTAGCATACACGCAAGTTATCGTGCTACTCTTAGCCCAGAGCACAGCTAGAAGCTACAGTATTTGACGCAGTTGGAGCAAACAGCTTTCTCGTTCAAGGATGACGCGGTCTCGCGGTTGTGCAACGCTGCGAATTTCGGCCTGAGCAAGATATTGAGAGCCTTTAAGCAGTCGACCGACGAGTCGGATCCGGCCCCGAGTGGACGCCATGGCTTGATTTGAGCCTTTTTTGAAGCTTGATTCTAAGGGCACTCCCTCTTGGAACGAACTGAGGATGTTTGTACTCTCTCTCGTGGCTCTGTCCTTGAAATTCACGGTCTAGCTTCATCTAGTGGACCTGCGGCTCACCACCACCATCGCCTAACGGATTACTCGTAGTCTCCTGAGACCGGAAGCCCTCGGCGCGCAAGGCAAGAAACAATATCACTAAACAAGAAATTGACGTTGCCGAGCGACAGGAGCAAAACCGACCCCGGCGGCGTGTGCCTGCTTGGTCAGCTTAGCGGGCTGGGTCTTTTGGGCCGGCCCATTCTGCATCCGGTCTCGCCTCGCCTCCGGAGTGAGTCATCGGGACGTTGACGGACGGATGGACCAACGGACAGACACCACCACCAACCAACTAACCAACCAACTATTCACTAGCTACCCCCTGGTCAGTTTTGGTTCACCTTTTTTTCTCTCCCGTTCTCTTTTTTTGGGTCTCCCGTTTTATTCTTGGGGGGGGATGTGAGTTGTTGCAGAGTTTTTTGTTGGCTCGCTGGCTGCGCTAATAGACCAGGGTAAGGTAAGGTGAGGTGAGGTGGCCGGGCCCAGTGATGAACTGGACAAAAAGGTGAGTGGGCGAGTGAGTTGTGCTTTCATCATGCGGACCCCGTTCACGCCGTCCCGGTCATGCCCGGGCAGTGGGTGGGTTCGTGTGGTTCACTCGGGTAGAGCGGTGGCGGGCATGACATGCCACGCGGTCTCACGTGCTTCGTGCTTGAATCAGTACTCAGAGCCCTCACCCCCTGAGCCAATATGGCGCGGTTGAGGTGGGTTGTTGTTCAGCGTCACGGGATCCGAGGTGGAGTTGATGCCTACCTCACAGTGCGATATCCCTTCTGTGCTTTCATCGTTTGTCAGTTTGCCTATCTGTCTATCTGTCTGTATGTTTTCCCCATACTTTCTCGTTTCTCTCTCCCGCTCTTGATCTCGCCCTTCGTCTTCCCCCTCTTAACTACTAAGCCTCCTGGTGGGTCCCGGATCACCCGGGGAGGCGGGTAAGTGCAGAGTGAGTATTGTGCGTGAGGAGGGGGGAGAGGGGGGCGGCGAGATGGATGCGGAAGGAGTCAGCGTTTTCCTTCTCTGGTTGGCCGTCGACGGATTCGTGGCGGCGTTTCGGTGGCGAGTGGGAACTCTTCCCGGCCCAAGACTCAATGGCCGTTTCACGGCGGTACTTGTAAATTGGGGCTCTTCTGCCTGTTGTGTATGTGATGGTGTATCCAAGAGAGGCCACCCTTGTTTACCTTGTTGGTATCTGTGTTCATACTCCTGACTCACACCGGGGGGCGACGGTCCACAGCGTGAGTGACTCGGTTCAGAGAGCGTGGCGGTGGATGAAGGAGCGTTTTCATTGTATTCTCCCAGCCGACGTTTCTTCGGGCCCATTATGAGCGGTGCTGTAACAGTCCGTCAGACACGGTTCTTGAACGATGGTGCCGAAACGCGTTTCAAATTTTGCCTTGGCCCATCCACATCGCGGGACGGGGGGCCAAGGAGGGACAGTCACGCACGAATGTCCACATTTCCGTGAATCCAACAAGGACCGAGTCTTCCGGGGCAGGTTACGTATGCATCTTGAAACCTCAAGTCGACGTCATTGGTCTTTAATCTCGGGGCTGAGAGTGTCAGTGACACAGCGATGAGGCGCATGATCATTACGAAGGTTGATTCATATGAACATGGAAGGAAGGCCCGTCCGAATCCCCCAAAAGCATTTGCTTACAAATTGCAAGTTGATCGACGGGATGCGGTAACCTTTCTCCGACCATGGTGACAAGAGCGGGCGAGTCGGCTTCACCTGAATGGCCATGTAGCATCGAATATTTAGGGTTAGCACCGACTGAATGCGATAGGGATCAGTAGTTCCTTGTTATTCAACCATGTGGACCGTGGTCTGTTCTTCAACGTAATCTATCATTCCGTATTGCGCCCAAAGGTGGTAGTAGTGTCCTGTGGTGAGCTGAGATGGTAGAGAAGAGAAAGGTGCCCAAATATAGGCGCTGTTGTACAGGGACCGAAATCAAAAGTCCAAACAGAGAGCCAACATCAACACCCATGCCTCTAAGACAACCCTCGCCGCGAACGCCAGTCTATCCGATACATGCTCTTGCGCCGAAGGGAGCCCAGTAAGAGGAAAAAAAAGAAGAACAAGCGTATCCACCCCCTGGAATCCAAGGCTCTGGCCGAGATGAAGTCTGGAGTGACTACCTGAAGGGCCACTTCTTTGTTCTCGCCTGCTTGGCGTTCTTGATCATGTTGATGCGCCTCAGCCTCTCGCGGTTGCTGGGATCCAGCAAGCCATCCGTACCATCTTCGCAAAACCACTGGTTCTGGCTGCGGAGACCACCCAGCCCGCCCCCGTTCATCTTGACCCGCCCAACCTTGCGGAGCTTCATCAGCCCGTACCAGCAGACGATGAGTGAGATAATGGACGAGATGCCAGTGACGGCGCCAAACCCCCAGTTTGTTTCCTCGATGAAGTTTTCGAGGTTCATGCCGTACAGGCCGGCTAGAAAGGTGCCCATGGCCAGGCCGAGTGTGCCGACGCTAAACTTGAGGTCGAGCAGCATGAGCGAGTTACGGTTGGCATCGAGAATCGCACGGATGCTAGATATGGGTTGTCAGCATCAACAAGCATTTGTGGTTTTTCAGCAATCAGGGAAAACTCACATTTCTTCCGTGTTCCTGATGCTCGACACGAGGTTGCTCGCCTCCTGTACCACTTCATCACAGACTTTGTTATATGATTCCAAGAGGAGTTCGACCTCGGTGTGATCATCCTCGCCCCTGACCAAGTCGTGCATCTTCTCAGTCAAGTACATGTCGGCAAGATCGTCGTCGGCCTCCAGCAACTCTTCGATGGCGTCGCGGACGAGCCTGGCTTTCTGCTCAAAGGTGCTGACCCTTTTCGACAGAACGAGGAGTATCCTCAGCTTCTCGCGATCGATATCGTCTTCTAGGTCGCTGAGGATACGAATGACTGGGTCTCGCACCGACTCGAAGTCGGCCTCTAGCTCAGCCGTGACCGACATCAGAACCGCTTCGAGGGCTCGGAATTCATAGGGCAAGCTGTTTGCCCCTGATACCTGCTTCTGCTGGAGCTTCCCTTGTAGGTCGTACATGAACGCTGACTGGGGGTATGAGGAGGTGGAACCATAGACGTCGAACAGAAGGACTCGGTCGTGCTTGATGAGGACCTTCAGGTGGAGAAGGTTGAGGAGGATGGCCGACGGACGGACCAGAATATGTGGGAGGTTGGACGAGTCGATCTTGCGGAGATCGCGCGGAAGGAGGCCATACTGTCGAGCGAAACTGTCAACAATCGGATTTCATTGGGATTTGTCCTAACATTGCGTACCCTAGCGATCAGCTCGCTCTTCTTAAGCTCACCGTCTACCATTATGACCTTCCCACTCCCGTCCACCTCGGTGCATCGCAACCTCGGGTCCAGCGCAGCCTTTGCGGTCATTGACCTTCGCTGGAAGATTGACCCGGATTCCTCCTCCAACCGCACTCGGATGTCGCCCTCCTTCAATGGCTCGCCGCCCTTCTTCGAGTCGGGCCCAAAAAGCCATTCGTGCCATGCCGGCTTGTTGCCATCCTCATTGGGCGTCTGTCGCGAGGAAGCATACCGATGGGCACCCCCGGCAGGCGCAGGCTCCTGGTTCTTGGTGGCGCTCGTTGCGGCGGCGCGCTGCTTCGTGAGCGCCTTTGGGAGAATCGCATCGAGGCCGAGGAAAGAGGCATGTAGTGTAGGTTTGCGACGGACTACTGGGGGGTTCATAAACCCTTCAGATAACCCGGTCCTCGCGCAGACGCAGGCATGGCGGCGGGTCGACAGGCGCGAAACACACTCGGCAAAGGCAAGGCCTTCGGATTGGGCACGCAAGAACCTGAGAAGCCTCCGCGATGGTACTGCTGGTTTTAATGCCAAAGGCATTGCAGGCGGGAGGGTCTGGTCACTCCAGATTGTTGGATGGTGGTCGCAACCCAGGTTTTTTTCTTTCTCTCGATCCGAATCAAATTGTTCGAAACCAAAAAGTGAACCTGCAGAATTATTGCCAGGGCGGTCGGATGTGGACACCCCTATCTGGTCCGTGCCCAAGCAGCCCATTCATGGTGTGCGGCTAGCGATAGACGGAGGGATGGCATCCCTGTACGAAGTACCTCGGTACATACCACATTGTTATTGGACTAAGGGTCAACTTCTTCTTCTTCTCTCAAATGGATCATCTCTAGAAGCGGATAGGCAAAAAAGGGATTTGTGTTAAATAATGCGGTGGGAGTTATTATGCTAAGAACGCCGGCCGTTGCCATACACACTGTACGAAGATCTTTATCAACGACACAGTACGAAGTAATTGGTATGATATCTGCTAATGGGCAGTGCTTGCTGCGGAGTGTAGGTGCTGTCCGAATGACATTTCTTCCCCAGACTCAAAACTCACAACCCCTCGGTTTTCCTACCTAATTCCAGTCCGATAACCATAAACCTTATATCTTTGCTTTTCGTCACGCCAATGAAACTGACCCCAATCAAAGTCAAGGGCAAAGCGGGTCAGCTGAAGAAATGGAAGCCGCCGCCACCGGAACCTGCCCGGCGATCGAAACGACGGCGAGATGACGATGATGAGGGCAGCGACAGCAAAGACGGCTCACGTCGCAGACGATTCAAGTCGAAAAGGCCAGCCGCACCCGTAGAGGAACTGCCGACCGAGGTCCTCGAGCGTATTATCCTGATGTCCCGGAACCTCAACGTCTTACGCAGTAGCCTCAGGATCGGCTATCGTTTCTCCTCCCCAGTATTTCTGACCGAGCTACTGGAGGCTGCTTTTGCGCCAACTTGGGGCGCCTGGTTCGGGTACGACAGAAATGTAGTGTGTTCTCCCCACGAACACTTTTTGCAGGCACTGGGCAACAGTTGCGTGCTGGATCCGGACTGGGTTCCAGGCGACCCTGATTTTCAGGTTTGCAATGCTCCTTGTTCAATACGAAACCCAAGTCGGGTTGGGAATCGAAGAATAGTTGGTTAACTCCCTTTGGAAAACCGCAGAGCGCCGTCCTTGCTTGCAGATGGGTCAACACCACCCTGGTGCTCGAGGCCCAGCAAAAATGGTACCGGAGGAACTGCGGTCCCGGCAACCTCCTCGAGCACCTAAACCCTCTCGGCCGCTCACGCGCTGAGTATGCCCTTGCGCTGTGGTCATCAAACGGTGGCCGAGATGATACGACAGCTCGTTTTGAAAAGGACTGGGAGCGGTTCAAGGTTTCTTGCGCCAACCTCTTCGCGGCGGATAGACCTAGGTTGGCCGACATCGATACCATCTGGGAGCAAGCAATGTACATGGACCTCCATCCCTTGACCAAGGTTCCGGAGCGCTTTTTAACCACCCCTTTTAATTGGGAAACTGCGAAGGCGACATACTGGCTCGTTCGCGGCGGGGGCCAATTACTCGCCGCGCAGATGTCGTCGTGGGAGGTACGTGTGATACATCTGAAATAATCACATCCAACGCGCGACCTACTGACCGACCTCGTTACAGCTGACTAAGAAAGGATATGATCGTGTCATGAAGCTCGCGGATCAACAGCTTATCCTAGTCTTACTCGTGCTCTGGGTTAAGCTGCGAGTTTTCGACCACTGGCCAGGATTCCTTCTGGAACAAGAATTGGACGTCAGCCAACAAATGCAACAATCAGAGAGCCCGGCGGACCGAAAACTATGGTTGTGGGCCTTCGAGCTAATGGGGTGCCGGGGTGCTCTTGGGGAACCGCAACCAAAATAATCTGCATCACATTGCGTTGGATCCTCCTGTTGGGTTGCCTGTCGCCGGGGCATGTTAGGCGGAGCGCAGCAATATATGGCGAAGAGTATTGGAACACAAATATCGACAAACCCCTTCCGGAGGTTTGGATAATCCAGAACCATGTCTTCACGTCAAAGGAGACCAGGATTTGCAGAGAATGTCGAGATATTCCCTATCAAGCGTCGTTGGGATGTACAAGAGACGCATCGCAAAAATGCCCGTGACCCAGTTCCCGTTCCCAGTGTGCGAAATGACGTGCCATGCCATAAAGTCATCATAATGACTTCTACCTGGTGATCTCGAAATGCCCGGGGTCGCCCCTTGCTGACCAAACCCATCGGGTATCACCAGGCCGTGCCCCCTCCGTCCCCAAACGAGGATTCCCGCAGCGTGATCAACATTGTCTGAAGATGCCGCTGGACGTTGTCGGAATTGACTTAATTGCGGTGGGTAACTTAAGCGCCGGGGTTGGGGTTCATCTGTACAGCACAACACATCAGTCTACCCTGCCCTGAACCTCCATCGTTCGAGAACCAAACTAACCTTGCGCTTGCCGCCGGTCAACGTGATGTTGACGAAACGGCGAGTGTAAGTGAGTCTCTTCTTCGCACGGCCCTTGCTATTCGATTGTTAGATCCCGGTCGTCTCGCGGTCGCTCGTGTCGGGGCTTTGTTGGGTTCACATACGGAGTCTTCTTCTTCTCCTGCTTCTCGACCTTGGGGGTCTGAGACTTGACCTTTCCTGTATGTACCAGTCAGAGCCCATTTCACAACTACCATATTCCCAATCTTCGATTCGACGGTCGGTGAAACTGTTGTTGGCGGGGAATCGACGTACCGGCACGAGCCAAACTGTGGGCGGCAAGAGTTAGCGATCAAGGCAAACACCAATAACTATAAAATCATCCTTGGATAACCATACCTTCCGTGAACCTTGCCCATTTTGGATGATTGTCGTCGAAAACTCTCTCGAAGGCTTGTTGGAGAGGACGGTGACAGGGAAAAGAGTCTGCGGGTGGTATCTTTTCGAGGCGGCGATTTCTGCGGATTATCCTGGTTACCTAATACTTGTGGGAGCCCTGCGGGGCTCGGTTTGGGGCTTCAGACCGGCAAGGGTGCTCCTTTAGGAAGTCACATGATATCCCACGTGACACTCTCGTCTCAGAACGTCTCGCTCTGCCTTGCGCAGCAACGCCTCCAGCTTTCATCATTTGGCGACATGTGATGGTATCACCCGATAAGTTACATCCCTGCAGTTCCATGCAACAGTACCTCATCCACGTTATGTTAAAACCACCCTGGAAGCCACCTAATTGCCGATGGCAGCCCCAGCCTTCAAAGCATAAGAAAAATGGCTCTACGTCTGCACGCAGGTCTCTAGTCAAGGATAAAATTTGTCTGTCGCGCATACACGAACAGAACAGACCTCTAACGAGAAAAACTCCAGTCGGAAAATTGAAGCATGTCAACCAACCGCGAAAGCGGGGAGAGATGATCTGATAAGATTGCTTGGCGGCCAGGGTTCCTCCAATGACCCCACAACCGCATCGTCTGACCCAGCCTGGAACTGGCGGTTGTTGCTGGGGTACGCCGGGAGGGGTGGCCAACCTCCCCCGGGCATTGGCACTCTCAAAACGAGCATCCATCTAGGAGCCCGGAATAGCCGAACCCCCCCCCCGTTCTATTCCAATTTGTATTTTCTATCCGTTCTCTAAGCTATCCCCATACTTGACTCATCCACCATGAGGCCCGCCCTCGCAAGCACACTCATCTTCTGCACGGCGGCATCAACAGCTGCTGCCGCCGTGGTTTCTGCCCCGGCCAACGAACTTCGCATCCCTACATCGTACGAATCCGCCGTTCTCGGCCGGCGCATTCTCGCACTCACCCCGCTTGGCACCCTTTCCACAGTGTTTCCCGAGGACAAAAACAGCAATGACGCCTCGGCACAAGAGAGACGCCCCCCCGGGCTCGGCGGGATGCCGTACGGGCTGATGGAATACATCGCCGATTGCGAGACCGACGACGCCGGCAACCCCACCATCTTGGCCATCGCCATCGGGACGACCTTCAAGAACGCCGCCGCGGGAAGCAACGTGAGCCTGGCCGTGCAATGGGCACCGCCGCACCCGCCTGCGAAACGGATCAAGAGCGGACGAAAGAGCTGGTTTTCCTTCCTGGACCTGTTCGGCGCCGCCGAAGACGCACACTATCACCATCATCATTACCACGATATCCCCCTTCCCTACTCGGCCGCCAACCTCCCGCGCTTCTCGTTACTGGGACATCTCGAGGCGATCGAGGGCGGCGACGACCGCGACGGGGAGGTCGGCGCGGCGCTAGCGAGTTGCTACGTCAAGTCGCACCCCGACGCGCGGTATTGGCTTCCGGGGAACCGGATCCACGAGGCGCACTTTGTGCGCCTTGTTGTCGAGCAGGTCTACTGGGTGGGCGGGTTCGGCGACCGCGCATTTATCGGGTGGATTCCTGTTGCCGAATGGTATGTCTACCCACGCCCTTCCTCTCAGCGAGGCATTCATTCCCACCCCCTTGTTTTTGGAACGTCTGCAACGATGAGTAGGTTTGCTGACATGCCTGTCTAGGCAAAACGTTACGCGGGAGGAGTGGCAAAGGGCTCGCCTGCCGGGCGAGAAAAAAGGGTGGAAGGAGTGGTCTGCTCAGGGTGATTTGTAGCCTGGTGCCCTTGGAGAGCCGTGTCTGATTCATCACAGTAGCCCGCCGGCGAGGTGGTAGAGATTGGTAAAGGCTCTTTCCCGAGCGGTTTGTTCGGTATTAATCAATGGCTCATTCTATTTGGCACACGTACTTTAAGCATCCCCTGGGGTTCTTAACTCAAGCATCACAGCGGCTAAATATACGACGCGCATTACAAGCAAAATATATTTGTGTTCGAAGCGGAGATTAAAAGGGTATCGAAAAATCTATATGTTTTTCGTCCCGCCGCATGTCATCACATACACCCACCTTCCGTTCCGACACCACAGGCCCTGCCTTCACTGGTCGTTGAATCAAAAACACGTACCTTAATCTACACGAATGATCACTTTCCATCCCAACGCCCCCGCTTCTCGGATCGCGCACGCCAGGCATCCCCTCCTACGTCGGCTGATCAAGGCATTCCAGCCCTTCTCGGCACAAAATGCCCTAGCGAGGATTTCCATATCAGACCCAAATTGTCGCCGCCGTGTCTCCGAGTGCATTTTCTTCGACGCGCTCTCAAGCGCGCCCTCCATACCACCCTCTGCTGCCCCGCCACCTACTGTAGGGTTAGAAGAGGTAGGCGAGAGCATGTTAGACATGTTGCTATCAGTCCGACTGAGGACCGGCGACAAAGGGATCTCGTGCTCCTGCGGTTGTGGCTGGAAACCCGTGATGCAGTCGATGACGAGCACCTTGGCGACCTTGTTGGGCGTGGCGGGTGTCAGGCTCGGCCCGGTGATGGGATGTCGACGAGTAGCTGCCAAGTAAGGATTCGAGCGAAAAATCCTGCTTAATGAGGAGCTCGGACAAGTGGAGCGCTGTGTAGGTATAGTACTTGTGTAGGGGGTGGCCTGGAGGTTGTTAGTGTAACTCGAACAGGAAGGTTAGATGGACGCTTAATTTTCTCACCAACAACGCTCGCCGTCTTTCCAATAGCGCCGATGCCAGAAAGGTCGACTTGTTGGATGGTCGGGCTAGAGGGTGACTTCATGATTTTGACATGTTGCGAAGGCACACAGGGGTGCGCAGTTACAAAGTTGATGTCTTTTGCCAAGGCGTATGTGTATTCCTTTGTCTCCTCCAAGTCGAGGTCTGTCACTGTGAACGTTATAGCAGCAGCGTACCGACGGATTTTCAAAGGTCGGCTAGTTCCGCTGGAATCCGACGCCGGGGTAGTTTCGTATTCTTCGGTTGGCGTAGTGTGGACAGAATCGACTGGTGCCACGAGGTTGAGCACCTTCAGATCGATGTCAAGGACAGGAGGCGCTTTATCACGGTAAATATTCTCAAACGGGATGATGAAGTCGGCTGGGAGTACAGAGGAGGGGTCTGTATCCCCCAGAATATTTGACTCTCTCTCAACCGCCTTCTTGCCCCACAGACGGGCTTTTCTGTCGACCTGTTGCGCGTCTTCTGTATATTTGAGTCAGCCCAACACAACCTCGCTGAACCGTCCCGATCTCGTTCTTACCAGGAACTTCTTCTCCTTCAATATTCAGCCAGCCGTCACTGAGCCCATGTGGAACGACGTCGCTCGAAATCCAGCCCATGCATTCCACGGCACCCTTTCCAGCGCCCAAGACACGGCCGACAATGCAAGATGTGCTCCAAAAACTCTTTCCGGAGTACACAAAACCACCACACAGATTGGCCATTGGGCCCAGCTTGGATAGAGCCTCTGAATCGTTCTCCAATAGAGTCGCCATCAGAAAGTGGCAGACCCCTTCCCCTGGGAGTATCAACCCCGATACATAGCTCTTGGAGAGCCATCCTGACGAATGTAATTCTGCTGAGATCCGTTTCCGCCGAGACGGTGGACGTCGGGATTGGGTATCCTCTTTCGAGCTGCCAAAGTAGGATGAACGATGGCTATCCGGAGCACTCGGACTAGCGAACGGCGTGCTGAGCGGAGTGCCGTCCACCACGGAACGGCAGTTCTCGGTTATCTTGGATACGTAGGATCCGGCTTCGGGCCAACGCAGCCGCAGCGCAAAGTGAGCCAAGCCATTAATTTGACGGCGGACATGTTTCCCCTTGATAGCATACACCGGGGCACGGCTGTGGTGGCTATGCGAGTCATGGTCACGAGTGAGCGACATGCGTTTTGTCAGTGTTGCCAGCCAGCCCGACGGCTTCTCCTCGGCGCTAGCCGGCTCGCTCGCTTCCGTCTTAACGACCTCGATGTTTTCGAGCCACACCCGCGCTAGGATCAGCGACCATTTGACCGCTTTATTTGCTTCTTTTTCGAACTTGTGGATCTCGGCGGGCCTGATGCTCTCGACCCCAAGCTCCTCGCCCTCGGTGATTGCGTCGAGTCTGACGAGAAGCTCGCATGCTAGCAATATCTGCAAAAGTAGCCAGTACCGCTCCTCGTGGACGCCGCTCGCCGAATCGCCCGTTTTGACAGACGAGCCATCTGTGCCATCGTCCTCTGACTGGTTATCCCACAAAAGCTGCCCCAACCGGATCCTCCATTCAACATGCGAGAAGTCGATCCACATGTTTGGCGCGGCGAGGATTTTGACCAAAGCTAGAATTTGAACTGACAAGCTGTAGGGGTCTCGGTGATCTAGCACCTTTGTAGGCGGATGGAGAATTTGGAGGAACAACTCGTTGTAAAGTTCGCTCGAAACCCGTCGTCCACGTGGATGTTGCTCGCCGTACCTCTGTCCGTTCTTGATCAGTTGTTCCATGATCAAGACTTCGTCAACGTGACGGAGACCGTCCTTTGAGGTAAGCATTTTCTGGCGTTGTTCGACGACGGCGGGGTGTCTAGCCTCGAGGCGCTCGAACCCCCATTGTTCTTCCTGCAGGGCATCGGCCACGGCTAGCTCGAGGGCTGCCTGATAGCCTAAGCTTCCTTTCTCAAGCCCAAACATGCTCAGCATATTAGGTCGTTCGCGGCATCGAGGGTAAAAGTGCGCTCGGTGCTTGACTTCGGAAGCTCTCTGTGCGGCAGACCGGTCACTTGTAACGTCGCGAGTGATGTGCGGCCAAGCCGTGACAGAGCCCCAGGCCTTGTCCTCAATCTGCGTGTGGTCCACGAGGTCCCGGATCTGCACCTCGTCGTCCCACGGAAACGCTACCGAGGGATGTGGAGCGCCGGTGTAGTGTCCTTCGGACCGAGCGAAGTACTGCGGCGCTCCCGAGAAGAGCTTCTCGACCTCGGACTCGGTCAGAGTGGCCATGATGCGAGTCAACTTGAGAACCGGTCTTGCGGGCGGGTCCCGTGTCTGCTCGCTGCCCGGAGGCGGGGGTGATGGCAACGGCTTGTTCGGGTTGACCGGTGTTCGTGGTGAGAGTGGTGTTGGAGTATCCGAGATCTGAAGCGTATCGCGGATGACCAGTCAGCGGCAATCATTGCATTGTTAACTAACTTTTGAAGCGGGACATTGGGCGGCGAGAAGCCATTGAATGTCTCAGTAAAGGTCTAGGTGGATGTCTGCAAGTTCCCCGGAGCTGTTCATACGATTGGTGCAGGAACCGTTGGGGAAGATGCCGTGGTCACGCGGGCTCCTTCTGGGGGGTGACGACACAACGGGAGAGAGGGAGCGGGACTTGAAGCCGAACCCCGACTTCAACAGCCTGGGCTTGGCTTGGCTCGCACCTTCCCCAGCCCGAACTGCAAAGGCCGGCCATTTGCAATGAATGCCATCGCATGATGCAGTTGCCTCGAATTCGAGAGCACCGACATATTGTCATGCATGAGGGTAAGCGCAAGGGTTGGGTGACCTTTCTTACCTCAGAGGCTGTTCCCCGCTGAGGGGTTGACGAGGGTGGCTTCCCTGTAAGTCGATTCCTGATGTTGTACAACAATTCTTTGTTGAAACCTCGTCGCCCTTTGATCTCACCGTCGGCGGTCTCTTTTGATCCAACCATGGTTCGATTGCTGTCACGTTGATCGTCTTCCTGCGCTGGGGTGCCGCCCTCAGTCTTGACGTCATGTTCTTCTTTCTGTTGCTCGTTCCCCTTGCGATTGCGGGGCGATCTCCTCAGCATCGAGAACGGGGCCATTGTCGATGATGCGTGCGTCCGATATTGGGTCCCGCGCGACCTCAAGCACACGAGCGGCTCAGTGAAAGCTCGCTTCCAAGTTGCGTTCAGCTTTGGCGGACGGACGGACAAACGGCAGCTTGCAGGTTCGGGAACCTGGAAGCGCGGCCAAGTAGGTATGTATAGTAACTACTCGGAAGCTTGCAGGGTTATATATATAGCATGAAATAAAACGACGCAAAGGTTAATTGTCCGATGAGTGTGAATGATGGAAATGAGATGGAGCCTCGATCCATGGGTCGGCCCTTGCAGCAGGGACCGGACCAAGGACTTGCGTGTCAAGCATGAAGGGTTTCCAGAGTTTGTCGCGGGCGTCAGTTATATCGCAGAACCGCCGTGCCGGGGGAGGAGCGGGCCAGACAACCAACGATAACTTGCATCTAATCATTCGCAAACCTTATAAGGCTGTTCTTATGAATGGTAAGGGTGTGGTCGAGACCCCCGAGTCGTCCTGCATGACGGGTACCAACACCAACGCTGCTGTTGGGTGGATAGCCGTCCCACCAAAACGTCCCGGTCATCCTGCCAGGGCCAATCGCACTGCTGAATGCACTGCTTGGTTGACTTGTTTCGAGTCTGGTACCCAATGCAAAACTTGGAACGGCATCGTGGCGCAGATTGGGTTTCTCATCGTTGATGCGTGCTGGCCTTAGCCTTGTAGTGAGTAGTGGAGGATTATATCAATGACACCGAGCAAGGCGCTTGACAACAGCAGCGAACTCAATCTCTGCCAGTTAATCGTTCGCCCTCGAATGGGGAAAAAAGTGGAATAACTAAGCACGAGTCTTCAGTCCAGTTCTGCTTCGGTTGTTTGAAGTTTGTCAAATCAAAAGGTTGGACAACAAGCAATTTCCCGTGAGACGGATCACCCCCCGAAGCGGTTCCGGTGGGCCCCCATCTTCACGCGAACCCCAGTAGCTGAAAGTTGAAACCGAGCCATCTCTTCCTTCTCGCTGCCAAGGAGAACTACCCCCAAGCTAAGAGTGCTTCCGAGTTGTAAACCGAGTTCCGAGTTCTGGAGCCCATTCGAGCGCCGCTTGCTGGTTTGCGTTCACTCGAGGCAGGTTTGGCTGGAATCGAAGCGCGAACCATATTGGGTTGTGTTGGCTCAAGTTTAGACTGATCAACACCGCCCGGTAAGGGTCGAAGGTACCTGGGTACGGAACCCAAATATTGTCAAAAGATGACTCGTGATCCAGAGAGCTTAGGCTGCGGTGTCGTGGATCACAATCAACAGATATTTTGCGTCAGGCACGATGACAAACTCCTGCTTCTTGGTTCGCAACCGCAACAGTTTTACTTCATCCTGCAAGGTGCCTGCTTGTCAGCCCTGAACCTTGACCCCGGGCGGAACAACCCGACGTACCTCGGTGTCAAGTTCCTGCACAAGGCCACCGGCGGTGTTGACAAAATTCCACACCATCGAGGCCAATTCTTCAGTGCCCTGGTCGTGGTTGGCGCTGCCTCCATCGCTTTCGTTAGCAAACGACCCAGCGGCGGGCACCGACGATCCCGATGGCTTTGCCGTCCGAATTGACCCAACCTGGCCACTGGTCTTCAAGATGGCCCCCGAGGCGCGGTCTAGGGCGATGGTTGCCCTCACGCCTGCTTTTTTGGAAAGACGGCCCAAAGTCTCTTCGAGCGCATCGGGGCCAGTGCCCTGAGTGATACAGTCAGATATTATAACACTCCTAAATTGCATGACAGAAGTCAACTTACCAGAGCTGCGTCTGACATAATAACGTTATTGAATGCCAATTTTATTTTGCCTTGGGCGCTTGAACATGAAAGTTGAAAGTTTGGGAATACACAGGTGGAAGCTGCTGCTGATGATGCGGCGTTCGGTGTGGATGAATGTCCTTCCCATTGAGGCGCAACCTGGGGCCAAGCCAGGTTAGCAAGTAATATTAGGGATCTGGAAGTCACTGTGTTGCGATCGCTGATGGCTTAGAATGGATATGCCTGTCTGGTTTACCTCGAGGCGCGCGGCGAAACCAACTATTTTTAATTTATATAAAGTCTCGTTCTTCCCATGTCCTTTTACCCTCCTTTCACATTAACTTGCCTTGTAAATGATTGAAAGCCCAGTCAATCGAACTTGACCTTGTCAGACACCGTGTAACATGCATCGATAGACACTGTAGGTCCACCTTGCTTGCGCCCCGCTGCCCCCTGTTTTTGCCGCGCTACACCGCTAAATTTTCCCATTCTCCTGCATCAACAAACTGAAGTACCCTTTGGGCCGGCCAGAGAGCATCGTGAATGCCAGCCAAGTCATTCATGAGGAGCTAATAATGGGCTCTAGCAACAAAAAGAAGAAGGAGAAGAAGAAGGACTTTCAGGTATGAACCCCTATATTTAAGAAGGAAGGTCACTTACTAACCCGCACACAAGAAAGCAAAGCTGAAAGTGGGAAAAGCCAAAGCGAAGGCAGCAAATTTCACCGATACTAGCTTCAAGTCCAAGTGTATGTACTGACCAATGTCAGCGTAGCAGAACTCATTTTATTAACATATAATAGCGATTGTGGTCAATCAACAGACTCTCTCAACCGATGGTTCGGACCCAATAGAACAATTCAAGCTGAATCTGTCTCTGGCCATCAATGCAAAGTCGGACAATCAGAGACGAGATGCATTGGCTCACATTACCAACCAACTCTCAGCCAATCCGCCTAACAACCCTGTTGGAGCTTCGGGCGTCTTGACGAAGTTACTTCCCATACTGTCAGATGGGTCCATGTCGGTGCGCACACAACTCCTCAAGCTACTCCGAGCCTTGCCGCCAGCAGAGGTTGGACCACATGTGGAGAAAGTTCTCATGTATATCCGAGGTGGCATGACGCATTTATCTATCGACATCCGCACCCGATACCTTGAATGTCTTGGAATGGCTCCTCGAGATTGCTGGGGACCAAACTGGTCTCCTGGCCCTTGGGGGTTGGCTGAATAGACGCTGAACAGTTTTGGCTCTATGCTGGGGTGGAACCCCAGTGTTGGGTCTGCCATTGGGAATAAAGGATGGACTTCTGCCTCCAAGGCGACACTGGGCACCAAGAGAGGTCCTGAAGCACAGGCGAGGCAGATCCAAGTCCTGGCCATGTTTCTCCAGACTGGGTTCAAGCCAGAGGCACCGATACCGTACAACCCAATGGCATACTGGGACAATATTTACCGTCTCCCTGGCACCCCCAACCCTTTTGCCTACCTTAATCTTTTTGGGGCACCCAGAGACGAGGACAGCCGAGATGTACCCCGACCGCATCTCGAGACAGCGCATCTTTGACACCAAATGGAGGGCTGCTATCTCAGTTGGGATGGAGAGCTCAAAAAAACAAGGTGGGTACAATTGGCAGGGCTGCTGGCCGCATT